CGAGAGCGAGGCTGGCCATCAGGGGCGCCTGCTCCGAGGGGAACCTTGCCTTGGAATGTGGATCCTCAACAGTAGGCCAGAGGTGCTTCAGTACTGCCCAGGCGCATTCATTTCCTTCACGCCATTTCTCTGCCGCCATTCGTTGACTTGCTAGCTGGTGAGATAGGGCCAGGATTGACATTAAGTCGCGCTCACTGCCAGCTGATGCAACAGTATCAATCCAGCCAGGGAGCAGTTCATTATCCTCTGGGGAGAGTGTCGACAAGCGCGAGCCGATGGATCTGGCAGTACTCTTGGTAGGGATAATCCCTTCGGTGAGAGACTCGGCCAGAGAGACGGCTTGAGGGGTGTATTGCTGGCCGGAAGACTTGTAATACTTCCACATTTGCAGAGCAAGGGCACGATCCATATCTTTCAGGTCCATCTGCCGGGCCTCACCGCGAAGCTCCTCGGCACGTTTGACCATCTGTGGCGAATTCACGCCGCCCCCTGTCTCCAAATCTACCTCTAGGTCGCGAAGTATGCCTGTAGCCTGTTCAGGACGACGCTGGCGGCGCAGGAACTGGGAGTAATAGAAGGCCACCCTTGTTTTCTGATCCCAGGAGTCTGTGGAATCGGAGCCGCGAGCAGACAGGCCTGCCCACAGTCGAGACAGCACTGCGTCGGCTTTTCCGATCTGGTTATTCTCCTCATACATCTTGGCTAGGTAGAGGGAATAGGCTACTCGCCGCGGGTCGGTCGCATCCATCGAATGAAGCATTGTCTCATACTTGGTTCGCGCAAGCTCCAGCGCCAACTCGTCCGGAGGCGCGATTTCGAAGTTCTTGGTGAGGTAATCGGCTGCTGACATGGTTTCAGGTGAATGAGCACCGTACGTCTGCACTGTCTGGTGGTAAAACTGCTTAGCAGCAGAGTACGCCTCATTAGGTTGTTTGTTGGCATTATAAGATTTCACCAGTTTATCAAGGTACTGCAGTCTTTGGGCAAAGCCAATGTCAGATGAGCCCCATCCTGACAGTGCCATGTCCTTCAGGGCATCAGTCTTCATGCCTGCAGTGCGATCCGCTTGTCCGTTGGCTACAAGCATTTGTTCAAGGTCACGTGTAATTGCGTTGGAAGGTCCCAGTTGCGAACGACTGCGCATCCAAGCCTCGTACAGGTGATCATTGGCCCAGCTGGCATGTGTCTGTTCGGCAGCACGAGCACTAAGAAGCAAGCTCTGTAGAAGAGCGGGAGACTCATTCCCCAGAACCACACGACGAACACCAACAGCCAACCGGTATAGTTCCACAATGCTTGAGCGACTGAACTGAGACTCCCTGTTGGTAAGCTCCAGCTGGGCGAAGAGAACAGTGTCAGGCAAAGCACGACGGAATGTCTCGTCAAAAGAGATCTCACGATCGGAAGATGCCATTGGCGATGCCAGCATATGCGATAGCCAATAGCGTGCGGTATACTCAAGCAGGATATAAGCGTCCAAGTAACGGTCGCGTACAAACACGCTCATCTTGTCCCATGAGAGGGAGACCTCGTCAGTGACCGTACGGCGAACCCAGGCTAAACAGCGGATCAAAAGGTCAAAATGAGCATCCGCCAAAGAGAATGGCAATTCCTGGCGCATTTGAGCCCGTGCTTGGAGGTGCTCTCGGATCATTGAATGACGGAACGACACAAAACCATCACGAACAGCGACTAGGCGTTTGAGGGGCTGGAAGAGGTCACGCTCGAGGTTTGAAGAGCGAGGGGCTACTTTCAGTGTCTTGAGATCAACTGCCAAAAGCTGTTCCACCTCTGGGATGCGCAAGGGACGCTCACTGGCCGCTAACCAGCCCAGAAGATTCTGCGCACCTTGACGTTTGATGTTGGTAGTACGCAGATGGTGGTCAATCAAATCTCCCAGCGTATTGGGCATTTTTGCAACAGCGGACGTCATGTCGCTGACAGTCGTTCGCTGCTGCATCGCCTCTACGGCCAACTGTGCCCATATGAAGCAGCCCTGAGAGCGGGATACGATCGCCGCCCCCAATGACTCCCGTTGAGACGGCTCGAGGCCAGAGAACGAAGAATCCGCCGTCATCATGTCGCTGACCGCGACTTGCATATCATGCTGGATCGTAGCGGCATTCATAGCAACCTGGTGTGTCTTCGTGGTCTCGCGGATTGGCAGTATGTCCTTAGGCATAGGTCGGCTGAAAATGATCAACTTGGACGGAGTATCGGTCACTGTGTCTTGCAGCAACCCCAAAAACGCGCTAACAGTTGTCTCGGCGTGCTTCATTTGGTCGAACCCATCAACAACCAACATAAAGTGCAGATTGGATTGCACGGCAGCGCGAATGGCAGTCCAAAGCTGTCCTTCAACTTGAGGGTCAGTTGCACCAGCTACTGCAAGCTCAATAGCGCCGGTCACAGCAGTCAAGATGGCATCTTGAGTCCTGCGGCTAGTCACTGAATGATCAAGGATTTGGATCAGAATTCCCTTAAGAATGCTCAGCGTGAGCGTTGTGATTGGTACGTCCGATCTGATGATAATCGGAATGACATTCCAGATATCATACTCCGAGGAAGCCTGAAGTCGCTCGACAGTCCATTGAGCGAGTGCACTTTTTCCTGAGCCGGGGTTTCCTCGGATCATCATAAGACTTCGTCGACTCATAGCGAAGGTAGTCAGATGCGGCTCGAACCAGGAGAAGGATCCGTCCGCTAAGGAGTGGTTCTGGCCTTCAAGAAGCATCTGCAACGGACGATCTTGGAGCTCGAGAAATTGATAAATGACCGACAGATTGACTGATGTCTGATGTTTAGCCGTTCCTGCTTGCAGCACAAGCTCAGATACACGACGCCAGTGAGTAGCGAAGCGGTTGAAGTAGCGGAAGAAGGCCAAATCGATAGCGGCGTTCATCGACTGCCAATGCTGGGTCTTCGCTCCTTGGCGATATTCCCAAGCCACGTGGACGACTAGTTGCAAGATATGGGCGTAGATCTCGGCAACCTGCTGCTGCAGAGGCCGGGATGTAGGGAAGTAGGTTTCCTGCTGGAGCAAGAGCGAGATACCCATAGTGATGCGACCATAGCGACCGAACAAGCTTTCAATTACGTCGAGTTGATCGATGCCCATCTGTGTTTCTAGTTAGAACATATCTTGCAATTGAGTGGAAAGAATCTCATACCTCAAGCAGAAGTAGCGTTGTCCCCCAGACAAGCGCAGTGGCTTCATCCGCGCCATCCATGTAACTTGACACTGCGTCGCGTAAAGAACCCACAGCAACCGCGAGACGCGAGGCTCGTCTGAGAACACCGTCCAGTCGACTACCATCTGCAGGCATACGCCGCAGTCGCTCTGCCGCGATAGTATCGAAGAATACATCGAGACTCGGGGCTTTGTTCTCGATCTCTTCCGCCGTTAGACCCAGGCGTGCGGGACATTCTTCGGAGACAGTGTTGACCGTCTCTCGCAAGATTGGAAGCGACGTGACGCCTCCGTTCACAGTTATTGGCTCCATTGCGTTATTGGAAGCCATGCCGCATTCAACTCAACAAAGTAGGAAACCGGGGCAGCATAGCCATGAATGGTTTGCATTTGGCTCATGTGTGGTTACGAGGCACTATATGAACTTTGCACCACCATCGAGGTCAATGATGTTAAGCCCCGCAATTCCGAGTGCTGAGCAATCTTGACATCATAATTGTCTTCCTTTCAGCACCACATCCTTTGGGGTTTGTTACGGACAAATTGACTGCACGGTAACCGTGGATCGGGAGGCCCGGCGCGAAGTCTGTCGCAGTGGTAAATCTGGTCAAGAAGAGGTTGTTCGAGTATAGTTCCCGGCAGGCCGAGCATGAGCCACGTGAAACCAGCGTAGTCGTGGTGTCATGGGCGTTGCTGTTGTCGGTCCACGACGAGTGCGATGCGTCATGACGAGCAGAAGTCAATGACATCACGAGAAGAGTAGGTTTTCTGTGGCCGCCCTACGTAAGATGGAAATGGCATCCATGAAGAGAAAGGAGCTATACAGTATGACTGGCTTTGGTGATTGAGGTCAAGTGGATATTTGTTGATTATGAGTAGGAGCGACGATTTTCTGGGGAAGCGGAGGTGTGGTGTGTGGTGGGAGGTGATGGTGGTATACTCTAACTGTTGTCTGTGGAGGGACCGCCGGGAGATGAGATTTAGCACTCGCAAGTTCGTCACCCGAAACCCAGCCACGTCGTAACCTACTGCATAATTGATTCATTGCTATTTTTTCGTAGTCCCCTTGACTTCGCACATTTACTTTCAAATATCTATGACTCGGGTGCATTCTATGCACTTCGACTGGGGTTCTTGTTCTCAAGGTAGTGTCTCCAGGTGACTAGAAACCATGCCCGCCCTCCTCAAAGGTAAAATGTTATAATCAGTAGTAGCCATCAAATTGGACTTGCATGATGCGGTGAAGATGATGTGAATTGACCTTGAAACACACCACTGAGTACAACAGCAGCAACCGAGGGGCTCAGAACAGCGACTTGATGTGTGAGGCTGCTGGCTGTGGTGGGAAGTTGGCTTTTGTTTTGTGAAATCCTACAAAGGGTTCTACTGTCAATAGGTAAATATGATATGGAGACGAACATATTCATATTGGATGAGTGGGTCGAGGGTCTTCACATGGTTACCCTTGTTCCTCTGGAGACCATCGAGCCTGTTAATTTAACGAAACAATTAAACAAAATGGTACGTCAACTGCTTTCAACTGGTAGTTGTGAGCATATCTCATGGATTCGAATACCTTAGGCTGTAAATAAAGAGTAGATCATATATTGACCTCTCTGAACGGTCACTTTATATGGACCGCTTTTATAGTAATTCACCATCGCTCGAGACTGATCATACGATAAGGTCGACAATTGTCATATCTTGACAAACTCGCGCATTACAAGGAAAGATATCGAAGAGAACAGGAAGTAATCATGTTTGTTGGTGAAATATGTGAGTTACCTGAATCCGTTGCTTATATTCAGGGTCAACGTTTTTCAACCGGCGGCTGTTGGCCGTATCCAACATACGTCGCCGCCAATTGACGGCGCACCCACTTTGGAAACATGTCAGTGCCAAAACTCAAAAATTCCAATTGGATTATTACTCACCTCTCCCGCTTTAAAAGGCTTTTGACATACCGGAGTGTCTTCTGACACGCAGCTGGGCAACACTGATACCGTTGTTTTGTAGTCCACTCCAAAGAAAAATGGGATCGTATATCGTTCTTCGCCGGTGATATTGATTACCCGATGTACCGTCGATTTGAACCTTCGGTTTGTCCTGTTTATTTCAGCTTCTGTTTCCCCTTCGCGAATGCGAATTCATCCTTACCACATGGACAAACAATCCGCGATGTTAACAACCAGCGTGTTTGGGAGTGGTTGAACAGTGATCCACTCTTCACTATAGTTGCGCACTTGCAGGGCTGGCACTTTGTCTTGGGATAGAATGGTGATACACTCATAATCCTGCTTAATGAATCAGATTCTCTGAAAGGCATGTGCAAAATGTTGATCAATTCTCGTTAGGAAAAGCATGAGCTTACCGTATGAGCACCCAAACCGATCCTGGACGTATCATCCACTGATGTGAAGGATAATGTAGCATTCTGGACGTCGCACCTGGGTACTCCATCATTGGATCGAAGAACTCTTCTGACAAGTCAAGTGCCAAAGCAAAGATTCGCATCAAGGACCGACATAGGCTCAGTGCCTCGGCGAAATACTCGATGTAAGTTTTTCGAAAGCCGGGCAAATCGTCCTCAGAGGGCCACTGGTTGTCACCATAGAGATCAAAGTCGTCTGATGGAAGCGAATCATGTGGTTCTCGTCGAGGATCTGCTGCAAGCTCATAGCCTACATCGAAGGACTCGGAATACGCTCCCGGTGTGCTGGCAATATCAGAGTCTGGCTGTCGAAGTTCGAGTCCAGTCATCTGCTCAGCATACAGAGGCATGAAGCCGCGAAATTTCTGGTGTATATGTCAGAAGTATATCCATGCAGAGAATTCTAGTCAGAGAGACCTTGGAGTTTGCTATGGAATATTGTGATTTCCGGTCCTCTGGGAGAGCAAAGAACTGACATGCTGCGTCGTGAATTGCGGAGATAGTCGCTTGGGGAATCCCATGATTCTGTCGGTCTGAGTTAGTGGCAGTCGCACAGACAGTTGTTGAGCTATCCGACCGTGATATAGAAGAACCCCACTTGCATACAGGCATCATGAATTTCTCTTGCTAGCGCTCGTCGTTTGTCAAGCTCGGGACTGCGCAAATTGGTCAAGTCAATGATCGGAACTTTGCTGAAGTCTCCCCTGACTGATGACTCTGAAACTGACATAGTGCCTTATGATCAATATTGGAATCTTGCATAGTCAATTGAAGAGGAAGTCACAGACTATATACCGTGCAGAGAATGAGGGGTCAAATAGTTATACGAGGGGTGTTAGTCCGAATAAGCCTCGCGTGCAGTTTGAGTAAGGCTAAGATATCGACTGTACTGTACAGCGACTGCTGATAGACGATAAGATGACATGAGATTATTGTCCGAATTCTGGAAAGATAACGACCTAGACTAGCTTCACTTGGTCGTGGCATTCGTACTGCGAACATATATTTCAAGAACTAGAACCATTGTTGGCTTGATATCCATTGCATGGATCAGCTCTCAGTGACGCTCTGCTACCTGAATGTTGTGTTGTACATCAGCTACAGGATAGCTGATCCCCAAATCAAGCTGGAATTGATTTGCATACTGGGCCTATGTATGTTCTGCGTGCATTCACAACTTGGTGGAATCATTGCGCGTAATAAGAGAGGGTGGCCGAAACGGGCCTGGTGGGCTCATGGCAGACCCGCTTTCTACCGCACAGGGTTCTTTGAATGTTCCGAGCCGCTCCGGCCAATGAAGGCGGAAATAATGGTGGAGGAAAGGAGGGGATGCCGAAAGCGAAAGCGCCGATTTCCCGACGTCACGGGGGTTGCGCATCGAGTCCACTGGATTCTTCCCCTACCCAATGCTTCGCTCCTTCTCGTCAACTGCGCGATTTTCGCCCCTGAGAGCTCCATCACCTTGACCGGATCGATTCGTACTGCATGAATCATGCTTGCGCCGTACTGAGCTCCCCTCAATCCGTTCGTCGAAGTGTCAAGCGACAGGGAGAAGCGCAATCGCGAGAAAAAAATAGGAATAGCAATCACCTCCTATTTGTGTCAATGAGTTCCTGTTAGTCTTGAAGATCTTCTGGAGCTTCTCAACGCAGACCTCTCCAAAAAAAAAAAAGCTGACCAGATTCTTGTTTTAGGAGCCATTGACCTCCCTGTTCTAATGCCACACACCCCGCTCTCCGACTCCACGTTTGTCACCCACCCACCCCATCACAGCTAAGCATCGCATCCTGTGATGCTGTCCTCAACCGACGCAGGCTCTCGCCGTGAGAGCCACCATACGGAGAACGCAGCAACCGCTTCTACAAGCTCCCCAGGGCGAGCCTCAGATCGCGCCGATCGCAAAACAACCGTGCCGAAAGTATCCAACAACAATGCGCAAAATTTTTTGAATGGCTTGGAAGGGGACTTCAAATTGAAACACTTGGGTCTTCTCGGAGTGCTTGTGTGGTTTCTGTAAGCCACACCTTTCAGACTTAAATTCCTTGATACTTAGCGAAATTGCGCCGCTCATGCTCGTCCACCCATAGGTTTCTGCACGTCGTGGGGATATTCTTCTTCACCAAAGGATTTTTGTTAACTCGAATGGTGCTGGAAAATAAGTCTTCATGCGATGTGCTTCCCTTAGCCGATACAAGTGTCAAGAAGAGTGACGGGTGTTGGCATAAGAAGTCATTTGACAAGGCCGTCGTTCTCATCATTGATGCCCTGAGATATGATTTCACGGTTCCTTTTACCTCGGATGTGGACGCGGGCTCAGACCCCCTATTCTACAATAACATCCCCGTCCTCTACGAGACAGCCGTGAATACACCGGAAAACGCCTTTTTGCTTCCGTTCATTGCTGACCCGCCAACAACCACGCTACAGCGGCTGAAAGGACTCACCACCGGAACACTACCGACTTTCGTTGATGCTGGGTCCAACTTTGCTGGAACAGCCATTGATGAGGATAACATTATTGCCCAGCTTCGCGCGGCCGGGAAGACTCTGGTGCAGTTGGGTGATGATACATGGCAGTCACTCTTCCCCGACTACTTCGATGCGAATCTGACACGTCCTTATGATTCATTCAATGTTTGGGACCTGCATACTGTCGACAACGGCGTGACGGAGCATCTCCTTCCGCTTTTACATCCTGCTAATGCCACAAAATGGGACGTCGTCTTCGGGCACTATCTTGGAGTCGACCATGCGGGACACCGCTACGGACCCAACCACCCAGCAATGGCTGCGAAGCTTCAACAAATGGACAAGCTGATCCGCGATGTGATGGCAAAGCTGGACGACAAAACACTTCTGGTAGTCATGGGCGACCACGGCATGGATCACAAGGGCGACCACGGCGGCGAGTCGGATGATGAAGTAAATGCCGCATTGTGGATGTATTCGAAGAAGGGCATATTTGGACGGACTGGCGAAGAGAATGTGAAGCCGCCCGCGCAAGCCAGCAATCGCTTCATTCCGCAGGTCGATCTTGTGCCTACGCTGTCTCTTCTTCTCGGGATACCCATCCCTTTCAACAATCTTGGTTCGCCTATTGAGGAAGCATTTGTCGGGCCTAATGGCAACAACTGGAAGAACCTAGTGACTGTCAACCGCCTGACTTCGGCGCAGATCAAACGCTATCAGCAAGAGTATGCATCGGTACGCGGGGCGGAAGAAGGGAACAGCCTGCAGTCAATCGAGCTGTGGAATGCAGCAGAGAACGACTGGCAGAACATCCCCTGGGTCGGCAAATCCAATCCCTCTGCGTTGCGACCGGTCTACGACTCGTATAGGCACTACCAGCGGAACACCCTCCAAGTCTGTCGCAGCCTCTGGGCCAAATTTGACGAGTGGAGTATGGTCCAGGGTATCGCTATTCTGCTTGCCGCGATCGTCTTGCTAGTGTTTTATGCACGTGGCATCAGGACGGGGCAGACGGTACTCAATAACTCTCTGCTTACGTCCGTTGGAGCAGGCACTGGCGTGGGTGCCATCAGTGGCGCTCTGCTCGTGCTTATAGGCGTGGTGGCTAGCCCGCTGATCGAGGAATCAGTCTTATTTGCAGCCACAGGAGGGATTCTCAGCGCTTCATGGTCATTGTTCTCCCGCCCCAAGCAACTAACAGTGCCTCTGCCTAGGACATTGTGGGGCTGGCTTGCTATCGTCTTCACCGTCGCACAGTCTGTCGGCTTTGCTTCTAATTCTTACACTATCTGGGAAGATGAAATACTCTTGTTCTTCCTTTCGACTTTTGGTGTTCTCGCTGGTGTATCTTCAATGCGTCAGAAATTGACTGCAGACCGGGTCTTGGGCGTCTATCATTCCATTCTCTTCGTCATTTTGGGAAGAGTGGCATCTATGTCTCGCCTGTGTCGTGAAGAGCAAATGCCATTCTGTCGTTCAACCTACTATTCTTCGGCAACATCTTCAACCTCCGCCCCTTGGCAGCTCATCATCCCCCTGATCTTGGCCTTTGTACTCCCGACTGTTGTGAAGTCCTTTTACACAGGTTCGAAATCGTATCAAGGTGCCGCCCCTCTCTGGATCGGGTCTGCGTTCCGACTGGGGCTATTTTTAGTTGCTGTCTTCTGGGTGCTCGAGGGTGCTGACGATGGTGAGTGGCTGCCCGTGAGCAAGGAGACATTGAAGTCAAGCCGGGTCTTCCTGGCTCAGCTTGTCCTAGCTCTTGCTTTTGTCGCAGGCACGACAGCTTTCATCTACACAAAGCCGTGCATCAGCATCAACGTCAGCCAGGGCAACAACGATCCTGAAGCCAAGGGAAAAACACCCTCGGTCTCGTCAGCGGGGAGAACGACCGTCACAATCTTGGGTTTCGGCAACGTCTACGGAACGCGGTACTTCCTCCTGGTCGTCAACTTCTGCCTGGGTATCATCCTTATGCAGAAGCCCATGGGCCAGGGAGCGATGGGGCTGCTGCTCTGGCAGATCCTCTCCTTGCTCGAAATCCTCGACACCAACGGCCTGGTGACTAGCAATTCGTCGATCGGACCGATCATCTTGGCAGTTCTAGGGTCATTCTACTATTTCAAGACGGGTCACCAAGCCACGTTAAGCAGCATCCAGTGGGAGTCCGCTTTCATTCCGCTGTCCTCGGTGCAGTACCCTTGGTCTCCGATTCTCGTCGTTCTCAACACCTTCGGACCCCAGATCCTCACCGCGGTCGCCGTTCCCCTGACGGTCCTGTGGAAGCGACCTCTGCAACTCAGCGAGGAAGCCACGTCGACAAGCAAGGCGAGCAACCCAGCGATCCGCATCCTCTCCGACGCCATCCAGGCGGCGAGCACCTACATCCTGTATTTCGCCACCATCAACGTGGCAACCACGATGTGGGCCGGCCATCTGCGCCGTCACCTCATGTTGTATCGGATCTTCAGCCCCCGGTTCATGATGGGCGCCGCTGTGCTGAGTGTCGTCGACATTGTTCTTATCTTGTTCTCCGTGGCCGGTGTGCGGTGGAGCATACTCAGCGTTGGCGACATCTTTGGATGGTAGAGTGTTTGGCTTCTACTGGTCATTCAGCCCACCTTGGGGCCATTCTTCTTTTCCTTGTTTCAGCTCTAACTGTCTAATTCTATTTTCTCGTGAAGCTTGGATATGACGGGTTTCACCGGAGCTTGTAAAGTACATTTGACCTTGCATAACTTCCATCCTGCGCTTGGCAGGCGGTGGCTTTGCCGAGCCAACCGATAGAATCTGCAGTATATACCATGATAATCATTAAAATAAATTCAATATCTTCTGTGTTCAAGATGACTGATTCAGTAGCAGTATCCCAATATCAGTAATATAGTTCATGAATGAGTGTGCTAGTGTTTCTATGGTTGTGAGCCGATGAGTCCATAACAACTGGTACTATGTAGGGGCAATCGTATTTTCAAACCAAAAAAAAAGGAGAAATGGCTTATATGATGCTTCAACCAGCAAATAATCTTCCAACGCCAAACATCCACCTCTAGCAAGTCTAAGTCAGAGGGGGCTATGATTCCGGTCCGTTCAAGCCTCTACAGACCAGCTAGGCTAGCCGATCACGTGCGCCGGGCAATCGCCGCGGGTAATCTCCTCCAAGAACGCGGCCGGGGGCCGATACAACATGACATGGAAATGCTCGACGGCATGGACCGACTTGAGCGACCTCCAGTTCCGGAACCAGATCACCTGAAGCACCATACTGTTAACAAAATATTGCGCCCCACCCCGGCTCCCGCCGAAAACTCAGCAAAGAAAGAAAACCTCACCTGCTCCGGCGCCATCTTCGCATGGAACGTCCGCCGCACGAACCCGTCGATCTCGCGCCGCGCGCGCGGCGTCAAATCATCCACGACCGGATCGTCCTCCAGCGGGAACTTGGTCCACACGACCAGGTGCACGATATCCGGCTCCAGGCCGTATGGCCAGTCATTGTATAAGATGCGGAGGTCCTCTATGTTTTTTGGATCAGGAAGTTAGCAGGTTACACGGGCTTTAACTGGTCGGGGGCAGGGGGGGGGTCTTTGTTGTTTGAATGAGGGGCGCGAACCATCGAACTCAAACGGCCTCCCCTTGGCCCGCAAATCACTCTGCAAGCCTTCCCCCACCGCAATCGCTCCTTGACGACGAAGCGCATGATCGACCCGTGTTCGGCGACGATCCGCGCCTTGTACTCCAGGTACCGGCGGAGATCGCTGGGGAGGCGCTGGAAGCGGTCGATTCGGTTCGTGCCTGCCATTATTACCAGGTGTTCAAGTTAGCGGTTGTCTGCCAATGGCTCGCTACGGCGTCGTGAATACGAGAGAACGATAACAATACACAATGCACATACGGACGAGCTCTGTGACGAGGTTCCACCCTTGTCTTTGGTAGAGATGGTCCGGGGTCGAGAGGATCTCAATGTTCTTTTGGGAGATGTCGCGGAGGTAGCTGGGGCAGGAGGGGGGCCATTGGGATCGCGGGATGTTGGTGAGCCAGTATGGTAGGGGTGCTTCTTCTTCTGGGGCTCCGTCATTGGGGGCGTTGTGCTTCTGGATGGTTGGTGTGGGGGAGTCGGTCACGGTGGCTAGGGGGCCTTTCTCAGCCAGGTATCCCGATCTCTGTCGCGGGGGGAAGGCCGTTGTTGCTGTCGGCATTGCTGCGACCGTGGGTGACATCTTCTCTGAATTAAGGTAAAGTGAGGTTTTTTTGGGGCGGGAATGTTTATTTGGGATGTGTGTCTGGGAATGAGCACAAAGGGAGGATCTAGACACAGAAAAAGGAGCTGCCGAGCTGTATGCAGCTTTGACAGGTAAGTGAGAAGGGAGAGAGAGGGCGGAGAGAGGAGGGAAAGTCATTTAAACAGGTGTAGGTGTAGGTGCGGCTTTACCCCCCGTAGCTTTCACTGTCAACCTTATTCTGACCCTGTTGGTATGACCTTAACGGGGATTGATTGCGGCGGGTCCGGGAGTGGCAACTAATGGCGATCATTGGAAAAGGCATGGATTTGCAGGGCTGAGAAGAGAAGGAGAAGAGTGCAACTGTCAGTGATGGTAATCATAGGTAGGTGAGGCAGTCAATAAAGGCAGACGCCGACACCCTGACTTGCTGTGCATTCCTGAATGAGGCGTCGATATTGTGTTTACCGGATAGAGTGGGGTGTATGTTGTCCCCTCCTTTGTTAGGGGTAGGTAGAGTGGGTTGCTCATTCAGGAGTGTTTCTCGTCTATCCAGCTTAGTGAAAATCATATGGTGTGTCACTTGGATGCCATATTTTTCCAGCATAAATCTGGCTCGACAATAGGTAGGAACGTTCGGCAACGACTCACTCAAAGTTTCTGGTTGATGGTTCAGCTTCCCCGGGGCCGTGAAGATCATCGCCCGCATCCGGAGTACAGAGGCTGTTATCAGACATGTGAGTAACTCACTGTACAGGACACTGTGTGTGATAGTAGTTCGATGATTGGGCCTGAACAATTCTCCCCTACAGGCCGCACACGGAACAAATCTGAATTTGGCCAGCTTCAATGATCGCCCAAAACATAGTATACTAGTAACCTCCTTCAAATGGTACTGGCAGAAGTGACGTGCCAAGTTCCTTGTTCCCCACAAAATAACAGTTTTCCCTTGGCAAGGACAATCCCAAGCATTCGGGCCCTCGGGGGCTCTTTTAGCGCCAGCCCAGTCACCAATCCATCCATCCGCCTTCCTAAGAATCGCAACCAACTCACTACCCCCTAAAACCCCCCTCCCTCCGTCTAACTAATACCTTCCAAACAGAGACACATCGAATCAGCCGACCAAACCCGCAATCTCAGGCCCATCCGACCTCACGATCACGACCCCCGCCTCGAGCAACTCCCGCCTCGCCTCCTCCCACCCGACCCCCGGATCCACGCACCGCGTCGCATCCTCCACGAAATAACTCCGGAACCCGGCTCTCGCCGCATCGATCGCCGTGCACTTGACGCAGTAATCCCCGGCGACACCCACCGAGAACACCGCCGTAACCCCCCGAGCCCGCAGCTCGGCCTCGAGATCGCAAGTCACCGACCGCCGGTTCAGCTCAAGGTTGTTGCGGTTCCCGAACGCGTCGGCGAACACCGAGTACATCTCCATGCGGGCGTCCATCCCCTTCTTGACGAACAGGTCGATGTGCGCCGCCTCGATCTCCGGGATCAGCGCCGCCCCCGGCGTGCCCGCGACGCAGTGCACCGGCCACAGCCGTTGGGGTTTGGTGTCGGTGTGCTTGCCAGGCGCCGGGTTGGTGAGCGTGATGGTACACTCGAAGGGGATATTGTTGGGCGCCGGGTGGTTCGGGGCGAAGGAGATGTGGTCCGCTGGGTGGTAGTCTTGCGAGGAGACTCGGAAGCTGAAGCCCGGGTGCGCCAGCAGCGTGTTGATGATTGGGGCGAGGTCGCGCGCGCCTTCGACAGCTAGGGAGCCGTTCTGTTTGTTTTTCCGGGGGTTAGCCTTGCTATCTCGTACTTGTCGTAGGTTGGATTTGGGGATTTTTCCTAGGGTGGAGGAGGGGGGGGGGAGAAAGGGAAGAAACGTACGGGAGGACAAAAGTCCTCCTGCATGTCGACGACCACTAGTGCTGCTGTCATTGTAGAGGGGATTTTCGTGTAAGGTTTGTCACTGGTTCTTGCTCAGGTAAGGTTTATGATGGTGTGGATCGTTGGGTGAGTTGACTAAACTAGACTATAGGAACATGTATGCTGAAGGCTGCCCCTAATCGAGGGGTTCCATCGTTCGATAGTGTAAAAGTTCCCCGCTACGTTATCTTAGTTCATGGAGAGGGACGCGCAAGCGGTCTAATGCCATGCGGCTTGGTCCGACCGCTATAAGCTGTGGAACCGAGGTTTCAAAGCCAGAATAAGATATCGTTCATGGGAGTCTAGCACCACAGTATTCAAGAAGTTCTTTTTGCTATGGCTGGCACTATAAGGATAGCTGCAGCTGGATGAGCATAATTACACAGCAGATGCAGGCAACCCGCTAGTCTATCAGCGATTATGCTCGTGCGATCTTGCCGGTACAGTTGAACAGGGAATGACTTATAACCATGCTTCTTATGGTCTAAGATACTTGTGTACTTGCACTATCTGCTGTGCTACAAGCACCCAAAGTCAGTAGGGAAATGACGTACTGCACAGGCAACAGACACGTGATCAGAGCCAAACTTCTAGGCGACCCGTAACCTGAGATCTCAGGCACAAACGATCACCGCCTAGGTCATCGCTCACAGTGTGTTGCTCTACAGCAACCCACCTGATGGTTCCACCATCATCCTGAATCAGAGATCACTGGGCTGAACTTTTAAGACTACTGCAAGGCCGCGAGATCCCCTGCTCGCATGAAAGCCGTAATCGTGCAGGGAAAAGCAGCAAACCTGGGTCTCAAGGGATATGATTAACCGCCGATCCATTCATGGAGGACGAAACAAGTATCAAGCACGAGGCGGAAGGCTCGAGTGCCCGAGGCCCTGTGAAAGAAAAGCCAACGGAGCCGTCTGATGCAGCTGTCACATCTACACAGTCTTCCGGACCCTCCGTGGCGATCAACGAGGCGAGCCGCTTGAAAGAGCTGCAGGCCGATGTCCGTGATCAGGATGATCTGGAGCGAGATATCGCCCGCCAGGCAAGTAGCATGGCCCCGCATGCGATATACTTCTGGACGCACCACCTACTGACCGTACGCGCAGGCAGACAAGCTGCTCCTGGAACAGGCCGATGAGCGCGACAACAAGAGACTGGAGCGGACTACCCGCGAGAAACAGTATGATAATTCCGGCCCCCCTCCGTGCTATTCTCCGTAGAGCGGCGCTCACTTTTATTCTCGCAGGAAGGTCGAGTCACAGATCTTGAAACTCCACCAGCGGCTATCCCAGCCCATCGGGACCGCTGGGAGGGTTCGCGCGCAGAATGAACTTCAGACCCTCGAGTCACGCAACACGGCGTTGGCCAATGACCTGGTAGATATCCAGCAGCGCATCGTCGATAGAAGTCGAGAGCAAGAGGGTGGTGGCGAGGCCTCGAGAATCGGACGTCTGCCGAACGAGTCTCGCAGGGACTACCTCATTCGCACGGGGAAAATCACCCCTTTCATGAACATGAGTCATGGCCCGGACCATGGTCCTCTTGCTAGTCTGCAGGACGCTCTTATTGACGCCGAGGATGAGCACGATGAGGCAGAGGCCCTGGAGCGCTTCAAGGCTCGATCGGCAGTCTCACATCGGAACCTCGTGCAACCTGGTTTTGATTTCGACGTGTCCAGTGGTCCTGACAGCACAGATCTGTCTGCGGACATTCGAAGCGCAAAGCGAAGAAAGGTGGGGCATGAGCAGCCCTCTAAGAAGATTCATGAGAAACAGGAGGATTTGGGCTATAGCTCAGAAGCTCCCGATGGAAATCAGTCGGAGAAAGATGATGACTCCAATTATGTGGCGTCAGACGGTGAAGAGTCACAACTCGAGGATGAAGAAGACTGGGCTCCTGAAGGACAGTCGGAGCGAGCAATGTCCCAGAAGAAGAAAAAGAAGACGTCTGCTGAAGATATTGAAGACTTCACCGGGCTGGACGATGGCAACGAGACAGTGTATCAAACAAGACTGCAATCGTGGGTCAGTCGCAGGAGTGCCGCAAGAGAACGTGCGCGCAAGACCCAGCATTCAGGAGAAGATGGTGACGATGTCATGAATGAAGATCCGGTTCCCGACGAAGATCAGGAACAGGACGAGTGGTTCAAACCTCACCCAACTGTCCCTGATATGCATTTTGACAATGGATATCGTATACCTGGCGATATCCATGCCTTGTTGTTTGACTATCAGAAGACTGGAGTACAGTGGCTGTGGGAGCTGCAACAGCAACAGGTTGGTGGTATCATTGGCGATGAGATGGGTTTGGGCAAGACCATTCAGGTGATTGCGTTCATCGCTGGTCTGCATTACAGCAAACAGCTCACTCGGCCCGTGGTCATCGTCTGCCCCGCAACAGTCATGAAGCAATGGGTGAACGAGTTCCACCGCTGGTGGCCTCCTCTTCGCGTTTCCATCTTACACACCTCCGGTAGTGGGATGGTCAACCTTCGAAATGAAAGTAGCAGGGAGGACGCGTTACTGTCCCAAGCCTGGAATGCTGCCACTTCTCGACGTATGCCTAATGGTCTGAAAGCGGCGCGCAAAGTCGTCAAGCGCGTGGTCGAGGAAGGACATGTGCTAGTAACGACCTACTCAGGTCTCCAGACTTACGCTTCTCTTGCCATACCAATTGAGTGGGGTTGCGCTGTTTTGGATGAAGGCCACAAGATCCGCAACCCAAATACCTCGATTACGATCCACTGCAAAGAGCTTCGCACGCCGCATCGGATCATCCTCTCAGGCACCCCCATGCAGAATAACCTCACGGAGCTCTGGTCTTTATTCGACTTTGTCTTCCCGATGCGGCTGGGAACGTTGGTGAACTTTCGCAATCAATTCGAGTTCCCGATTCGTCAAGGTGGTTATGCAAACGCTTCGAACCTGCAGGTTCAAACCGCCGTTAAGTGTGCTGAGACTCTGAAAGACGCTATCAGTCCCTACCTTCTGCAGCGCTTCAAGATAGACGTGGCTTCAGACCTTCCGAAGAAGAGCGAGCAGGTTCTCTTCTGCAAACTGACCAAGGTGCAACGAGAGGCATACGAGGCATTCCTTGGCTCATCCGAGATGCAAGCTATCCTCAACAAACGCCGACAAGTCCTGTACGGCGTTGATATCCTGCGAAAGATCTGCAACCATCCCGACCTACCAAGCCACAAACTCCAGTCCTCGGCAAAGGATTACGGAAGCGGCAGCAGATCTGGCAAGATGCAGGTCGTAAAATCACTGCTTGAACTATGGAAGGACACTGGACACAAGACGCTACTCTTCTGCCAACATCGAATCATGTTAGACATTTTGGAAAAATTCGTGCGGGCGATGTCTGGATTCAATTACCGCCGAATGGATGGCACCACCCCGATCCAGCATCGGCAGACGTTGGTCGATGAGTTCAACAACGACCCAGACCTTCACGTATTCCTGCTTACGACCAAGGTCGGCGGACTGGGTGTGAACCTCACCGGTGCGGATCGCGTTATCATCTACGATCCGGACTGGAATCCATCTACAGATATGCAAGCCCGCGAGCGGGCGTGGAGACTCGGGCAAAAGCGGGACGTCACGATCTATCGACTGATGACGGCCGGGACCATCGAGGAAAAGATCTACCATCGTCAGATCTTCAAGCAGTTCCTCACCAACAAGATCCTGAAGGACCCCAATCAACGACAGACCTTCCAGATGAGCGACTTGCACGATCTCTTCTCCCTTGGCGAGGATAACCAAGGGGCCACTGAGACCAGCAAGATCTTCAAAGACACAGCAGCCACGACCTTCAAGAACGGCGACAACAACAACCCAGCCTCAACAGCCGCTGCAAACCTCGCAGACGTCGAAGACGAGAAGAGGGACATCCGCAAAACAGCGGGCGTTGCCTCGATCGAAGAATACCAGGGCGAGCAGGAGCAGCAGCAGCAACAACAACAACCACAAAACGAATCCGAACCCTCCACCGCCGCCGGCGGGCCCGGCAATGCAAACCAAGAAGCGCGCATCATGGAGAAGATCTTCGCGCGGTCCGGCGTGCACTCCGCCCTCGAGCACGACCAGATCCTGAACGGCAAACGCGTCGTCCGGGCCGATCCCAAGATCATCGAGGCCGAAGCCAAGCGCGTGGCCGCCGAAGCAGCGGAAGAGCTCCGGCGCGCCGGGGAAGCCGCCCGCTCCGTCCCCATCGGCACACCTACCTGGACCGGCCAGTTCGGCGTGGCTGGCAGACCCGAAGAGCGGATATCCTCCCCCTTTGCAAGAGGCGTCGGCGGCAGCAGCGCGAGACGGGCGGGCGCCGGCCCCTCGTCCGCCAGCATCCTAGCCAATCTTTCCTCTTCTGCGACTGCTGCCTCGCAGAGATCTTCTCCCGCCTCGCGAAGCAACACGAACAGCCCGGCCCCGTTGTCGTCGTCGCGGGCTGCTGGTGCTGGTGCGCCAAGTGGAATCGACTTCATCACCCTGCTGCGCGACTTCATCACCGCCCATGGCGGCTCGGTCTACACGCAGATGCTGATCGATCAGTTCAACCACCATTGCACGACGCCCCAGAAGACCGCCGAGTTTAAGGAGATGCTAAACACCATTGCCGTTCTGGAGAAGGGGGGCCGCAGCCGACGCGGCAAGTGGACGTTGAAGCCGGAGTATGCCAAGAACCGATAATCTTTCTAATGCGCTTGTTCATTGATTTGAATCGCCGACATGTGTTTATGATTAGATGTATAAATAGATCCTTGGGAAAGAAAGATGGCTCTTATGGGAACATTTGCAATTCTTCTGTGACAAGAGAAACTACTAGCTTCAGGCAGCGAATTAATAAAGGTTAATATTACCCTTTTTCGGGGCCTTCCCACTAAATCCGACGCCTGTTCTACACCCCCTACACCACACTGCAGTCGTTATGCCTGCAGAGGTGGGCTCGATCGTCTAGTGGGTAGTGTACGTATTACCTGATCTCATAACATCATGGCCATACTCACCGCTACTGCCGGTATAGGTTTTTCAAGATTACGAGCTGCGCATACTTGGATCCCCATGCCCAAGAGTCAGCGTCAGCGTGATCCAGCCGACCACATCTGACCACTTTGCCTATATTCCACCCATTGACTTACCGTATAGTTTCAGCCCAACATCCCCGGATTGAGATCCGCGAGTTTCGCCGCACCATACCGCATGATCTGCACGATCTCGCGCTCGTCGATGCGGCTCTTGCGCAACACCCGCAAGAGCTCCAGGGGCACCTCATTGGAGTCCATCCAGAGCGAGGCCGGATTCTGCGTCGCCTGGTACCGGCACAGGGCGATGTAGGCCAAGGCGCAGAACCCCCCGACGTAGCCGAGCCGCCGCAGCCAGATGCGCTTCTTCGGCGGGTCGAAGTCGACCGCGCCGCCGAACTTCCGAAAGTCCCGCACCTCGTGGGGCTGGAGGACGTACTCGTACTCGGACGGGTCGGCGGGTTTCTTGACCTCGACCTCCTCCCGGTAGTCTTTATTGGCGGACAGCTTCGTCCATTCCTTGGCGATGGTGGGGAAGCTGCTGCGGAGCATGGTGGGCTTGTGCGTGGGCGGGAGGTAGCTGGGGCCGACGAACTTGGTCTTCTCGCGCGGGAAGACCTTGGTCGGGCTTGTGGACGCCTGCTCGGTTGGCTGCTTGACGGAGATGACCCGCGCCTCGGGGACCAAGGGCAGTGGGGGTGGTGCTGGGAGCGCTTTCTGATCCTGCAGCCGGCTCTGGAGCTGGCCGAAGTTGACGGCTGAGGCCTCCTTCAGGTACCAGACCACTTTCTCGAGGAGCTCCTCGATCGTCGGCGTCCGCTGCATCTCCGTCGTCATCGCGGTCTGGATGACCACCAGGAACTGCTCGAGCGCCGTCTCCGGGGTGATTTCATCGAGATAGGTCCGCGAGACGTTCATGTCGTCCAGCATCTTCGTGATGGCCATGAATCCGCTCTCCGGCGCCTGGGACGGCCACTCGAAGTCGAATTCCAAGTCGCCCATGCGCATGCGCTTGAGGTGGTCGCCCATCTCCAGGATAGGGTCCGGAGCCATGGCTTCGCCATCCCAATTGAAGTCCGCGAACCCCCGCTTACGCGACCTCGCCTCGAATCGAGGTTCGGTCGGGGTCGGCGGCAGGTAAAGCGGCACCCGGGGCTCCTCCACCCACACGCTGGAGCCCTCATCCACCAGCATGTTCTCACGGGGTCGGTTCCAGAGCTGGGCAACCATGCTCTCAGGGATCTCCCGCTTCTTTCTCTTTTTCTTCTCCTCCTCGGTCTCTGGCTCTCCCATGCGCCACCATTTCTCCCCAGTTTTGGGGTCGTTATGCGGGTCCGCGGACGACTCCGCCATATCATGATCGTAGGCTGTATCAAACCCGCAGGAGCTTTTTGCGTAGTTAGAAAAGGCTGCTAATCGCTGGCTGAATCCCTGCAGGGCTTGACTTTGGCTCGTTTCGTCCAGGACATCAACCATCTCGTCGTCTTGTTGGCTATTTCTTTTGCTCTTATTCTTGCCATTCTTTTTGTTGTTGTTCTGTATCTCTTCCTTCGACTTGCCCTTCGCAACCAGGTACAGGGCGTCGTCCTGGGCACTTGCCATTCGAACTGCACGGCGGAGCTTCTCATTCAGAAACGAGTTCTCCTCCTCCAACTTGTCGTTCAGCGATTCGACGCTTGCGTCACTATAGCTGTTTCTCTGCAGACTTTCATGAAGTTCCTTTTTCGCCTCTCCTGCTTCCTTGCTGTATCGCACAAGCTGGTTCTGCAAGTCTTTCAAGCTCTTATTACGATGCTTGGCATTTTGGCCCATCTGTCGACACCTCTCCCGAGCCTGGTTAAACAGCTCTTCTTGCTTCGCGGTCCTCACTTTCAGATTGGCGTTCTCCCTTTTCGACTTGATAAAGTTCTTCTCGTGCCGTTTGCCCTTTTTGTTGCTCGCATGGAGCTCTTGGCGCCACGCCTGTTCTTTGTGGTGCCATTGCTTCTCTGTTTCGGACAGGGCATTGGTCAGCGCTAGCAGCTGGTTCTTGAGTTGGGTGTTCTCCGTGTCGAGGTCAACCGCATGCTGCTCTGCCTGGGTCAGCTGCGTCTTGTTCTGATTGAGTGTCTGGTAGAACCACTCCGCCTTGACTTCAGGCGACTCATTCCTGTCGCGGATATGGTTGAGGACCTCCTTGTCCTGCTGGAGTTCGTGCACAGAGAGACGGTTGTTTTTGTTATTATTGTTTTTGTGGTTGTTGTTCCAGTTGTTGTTGTTACGATTATTATTGTTGTTGTTGTTATTGTTGCTGTTCCAGTTGTTGCTGTTCCGGTTGTTGTTGCTGTTCCGGTTGTTGTTGTTGTTGTTGTTGTTGTTGTTGTTGTTGTTGTTATTGTTGCTGTTCCAGTTGTTGCTGTTCCGGTTGTTGTTGCTGTTCCGGTTGTTGTTGCTGTTCCGGTTGTTGTTGTTGTTGTTGTTGTTGTTGTTGTTGTTGTTGTTGTTGTTGTTGTTGTTGTTGTTGTTGTTGTTGTTCCGGTTGTTGTTGTTGTTGTAGTTCGACATATTGAGGTTTCCTTTTCTGATTTTGTATATTGGTTTGTCAACCTTTTGAGGCGTTCGTGGAGAGAGGAGGAACGGATTAGTATAGGTTTGATGTCTCACGAGTCACGGACTCTGGGGTCTTGAAATGAATAGATAAGTCGAAATGTGCGTTTGAAGTTCAATTGTTCTGATAGGATTTGGTGTATTGGTTCATGGCACTATCGAGGTAGTCAACGATGGGGGAAGATGCGGACATCTGTTACTTATAATATTCAGCCCTTTGTCCATGACTGCCGAAGTATACCGGAGGTCGTCAGGGACTCAGGGTTAGCTTCAATTATGCAGGTCAGATAGGAGCGGATCTTCGCAGACGACCTTCCGCCTGGCATCGTCTCTCGGGACTTGCTGTGACAAGAACGAGAGCATATTATCTGAGCATGAATGATCTGGTTGATGGTCACAATGACATTGTCGTGGTTGTTCTTTCACCGAACCGGTACAACAAAGCACATAATCAGGCTTGACCTGATTCTTTCGTTTGTCATCCATTGTTCTGAGCTAAACAAAGCTCTCAGTCAGCAGACAGGGAGTGAATGAAGCTGGAGGGAATTGCTCTCCAAATCTTTTGTGAATAGACTAGTTGGCAAGACAAACGAATGAAGGTACTGTACACAAAAGGCAGTCCACACCGCAGGCCCGGGAGAGCATGAGATGCCGGATACCTCAGGCGTCGATAGCGGGTATCTCCGCAATCACGTGCTATGTGTGTCAGCCACACTCCACACTATTCCTAAAATAGCAGCACACCTTTTTTCCCACCCCGTGATGCGCTGCGCTATTGCAATTCAGACGGGGGAAGAAGAAGGAAGGAGGGTCCCCGGCTCATCTTCCCACTCCCTGAACCCCTCGTGTGTGCGTTCATCTGTTCTTCCCCGACAGGGTCTTCACGATCCACTTCACATTCGTTTTAGAATCTCCCTCTCACTGCCTCCTTCTTCTCCCAGCTGTGTGGCATCTTCCAGGCGCTGCCCGGTAATAGGAGCAGTGCGAGGCCCAGCTCTTTATCACCTGTTGTTGTGGAGACCGGGTCGGAGGCCCGCCCATCTTATTTACCTTACAACGAACCTCTTCTGACCGGGCGATCGCCTGTGACATTATCCTCCTCGCTTCTTTTTCAAGGACTTTATCGAAGACAAAATGGGGTTCGGCGACTTCGATTCAATCTGTGAGAAGGCACCATTGCCTCTGTGCTCCTTGGTGGGCCCTCCATCCTCGATATCCGGCTTAACGGGCATTATCCCCAACTGCTATGCACGCAACATCGAACTGGCCAATACCATCATCTTTGAGGGCGCTGCTTCTTTTGTCCATATTATCGCCCTTGGTATGACGGTGATCATGATTTTGCACATTCGGTCGAAGTTCACTGCTGTTGGTATGAGCCTGTCATCTCTGTTGTATATTCCCTCCGTCGCATTGTGAGATCCACTAATGAAGTGCCATGATGGCATGCAGGCCGCAAGGAAATCTTGACCTTCTTCTACATCTACCTGCTCTTGACTATGTGTTCTTTGATTCTGGATGCAGGCGTGACCCCCCCAGGAAGTAGCTCGTTTCCTTACTTTACTGCTGTGCAAAACGGCCTGGCCTCGGCACTCTGTACCTCGTTGCTCATCAACGGCTTTGTAGGGTTCCAGCTCTATGAAGATGGCACCACTCTATCTGTCTGGCTCGTGCGACTCAGTTCGGCGGCCATGTTTGTCGTCTCCTTCCTTGTCTCCCTCGCGACTTTCAAGTCGTGGGGCAGCCTCGGTCCTACTAACACCATCGGCATGTTTGTTGTGCTGTACCTTGTGAATGCCATCTTCATCGTGATTTACCTGGTCATGCAGCTACTGCTTGTCCTCAACACCCTCGAGGACCGCTGGCCGTTGGGCCATATCGCTTTCGGTCTTGTGGTTTTTATCTGCGGGCAGGTCCTTCTTTACGCGTTCAGCGATGCGATTTGCGACAATGTACAGCACTATATGGATGGACTCTTCTTTGCAACCCTTTGCAATCTCTTAGCGGTCATGATGGTGTACAAGGTAGGCACACGCTATTTCTTCGTGACCGACTGAATCTCTAACGGCGGCATACAGTTCTGGGACTATATCACGAAAGAGGACCTCGAGTTCTCTGTTGGAATCAAGCCCAACACATGGGAGGTTAAGGAGCTCCTACCCGAAGAGGATCGCCGGCAGACGATCTACGCCGATGCTGATTCGGAATATGCGGGGAGCATGTACCATCACCGAGCATCAACCTATCACGGCCACAATTATTAAATTGCCAAGCTTGTTGGACTCTAGCATCTACTCGGACTTTAACACAGTACCTGGTACTTTCTTACCCATTCCATCCACAAACGGCCCCTTTCCTCGGCAGACTGGGGGCCGAGTTAATGAGGGCGGCTCCGAGTCTTACCCCTCCTCCATCTGGACCTCAGGGCCTATGCGCAACGTTGTTCTCGCTCCTTTAAACCCTGCTCAGCTCAGTGAGCCATTGCGGTCAACTGACAATCCTTTGAATCAGTGTGTATAGGGCGTCTTTTTTTTTTTTCTAATGACCTGTTTGCGTTGTTTGCATGGAAGCCATCGCGCCTCCCACCTTGCCAGCTGTATGCCCAAATACCCGTTTTTCTTTGTTCTTCTTCTGAGGCCCCAGGATAATTATCCATGATGGCCTACTTTGTAATCCATGGGTACACATATCGTGTACTAAATACAGTACATAAGTCACAGTTTATCATCCGCACATGCGAATCTTATGTGTACTGTACGTACGGTAGCTTCGGGTTTCCGGTGACTAAAAGGTGACTATGGGGTGACTAAAAATAACCGCCCATTGCCGCTCCGCTCTGCAAGGGCCGAGGACTGTCCAGACCGCGAGACGTGGGCACTACGAAGAAGTCAGTAAGACTACACAGTAGGTACTGACTGCCCGGCAGTGCAGCACACGCTCAACGACAGCAGCAGCAATCAGCCTAAGGAGAAATAAAAATTAGATAAAAATAAAAATACGAGGTCACATTCGCTGAATCCGCGGAACTCAGTGAGCCACATGCTTACCCACAAATCAGCAATGCGACAGCATCCGGAAGCGGCTCAGACCCTTTTTTCCCGAGTCCTTTTCCTCTTCTTCCTTCTTAGCGCCACTAGTCTAGCCTCAGGCCAACCTGTCCCCCTGGCGTGCCAAATTGGTCAGACTCAGACCCCGTCATGCTCCATCCATCAAATGCTTAGCATGTCAGAGATCGAGCAGGGTCCCTCCGCTGTAACTTGTAACTTGTAACTACCTAAGCCTGTAACCTGCCAACATGTCAGACCCTGATTCGGAACCTCGATCGGCTCTTCTCAATCCCTCTTCACTCCTCACCGGCCAGTTAAAGAAAAGGTTCCAATGGATCTGCCCATCGGATCGAGCAATTTGCTTGAGACCCATGAGGATCCACTCTGGTGGAAATCAAGAAATACCACCCTACCTATACGGTACTCAGCACCACAACAGGTAAGACAGGCCCATCTCAGGAAGCAAATCTTGCCGACTTGGAACGACTAGCCCGCAATTGCTTTTCCACTCATCGCCCGCCTTCACCCAAACCGCCCCTATCAGGAAATGGGCGAGGGAAATCCAAATTTACGCTAAAGCGAACTTAAGCACAATCTGCTCGAGTAGATTAAAGGAGAAAGGATATTAGCCCGACCCTTCGACCCAGTCGAACCCTGGCTGAGTCCATTAATCTTACTACATATGCAGTCATGTCCGAATGAAAGATAACTATAGGTGGTCGCCCTCGCTCTCCTCTTGTGGTCACTTAACTCAGTACTTCAGTTTACCCCCCCCCCCCTCCATATCCTCTTGGGATGAACCTCATCCCATCCCACCTTATCCCCTAATTCCTATAGCCGATTTTTTTGCTTCTGTCGAACGTTTTCGCTAGCTTTGCTTTCTTGTCTATTGCTCTATCGGTCAATGAACCGTGCAGTCAGTCTTTACCATCTATCTTTATGACACCACCATCGCTCTGCCACAGTCACCCGACAAGACCTCTTTTCGCTACTACTACTACTACTGCTTAAAATCGCACGCCTCAAAAAGGAATGAACCAATTCACTATATAATTCAAGCCCAATACGACGACGAATAATCGATCAGAATGATTCTCTCGCTCAGCCGCCCGGTCACCCTGGCCCTTTCGACACTTCTTCTCCTCAACTTCTATCTCTTCCACCGCGTACTCCACCAGCCTGTGGTCACTAGTACATTTGCCGTAAATACAACCCCGGCCCAACAGCAGCAACGAGAGCAACAAGAACAGGATCAGCAACAACAAGCCTTCTTATCACCTACTCCTACTCCGTCACCTGAACCAACTAGCGCCACTCAACCCACCTGGACCACACTCTCGGTCTCAGCAGCGACTCCAACCATCGCCCCAACTTCAACCGCCTTTCCTATGAAGCTATGGCAGAAGTCAGGTCCCAAAGGCGTTTCTCCGGACATCCAGACCTATATCCAGTCGTGGCATGCGCTCAACCCGTCCCTCCGGCACGAAATACTTTCCGACGACAGTGCTCTCGCCTACGTCGAAGAGACCTTCCGGGACGACTGGCCCGAGGTGGCAGATCTCTATCAACAGATCCAGGTTCCGATCATCCGCGCCGATCTTCTTCGCTTGTTGATTCTCTACGCCGACGGGGGCATCTGGAGCGACCTGGATGTCACTTGCGAGGCGCCTATCGCGGAATGGATTCCCGACGTATTTGTCAAGGATGACGGCAACATCTGGGTGAAGGAGCAGGTCAACGTGGTAGTCGGACTGGAGTTTGACGGATGGCAGTTTGCCAGTTGGACGATGATGGCCAAACCCAGGCTGAATCACTTCGAGGCGGCGATCGAGTATGTGATGCACCAAATGGAGGGGATCGCACAATCGCACAACGTCTCGCTCTCTGGGGTGACGATGGAAATGATTCCCGACGTGGTGGACGCGAGTGGTCCGCAGGCCATCACCGTGGCGCTACTCCGGAGTCTCTCGCATACGCTGGGCAAGACAGTGGATCGGTCTAATATCACCAGCTTGCATGAGCCGAGACTGCTTGGGGACGTGCTGGTTTTGCCGCAGGCGGCATATGCAGCACTGCAGGGCGGGTACCCCCAGGACCAGGGCCCGTACCTGGTCTCACATCATTATGCGGGTTCTTGGAAGAATGTCCAGGGAGGTGAACAGCGGCGCTAAGCCCGCATTGGCCTTCGGTTTTGGTCTTTGTGTATCTTCCTCTTCCTCTCTTCACTTGGTTAATTTCCATGTATATATTTGAATCACATATTTTCTTCATGAAATGTACGGGTATGATTTTCTATCTTACACATTTATATCTGGTGATACCTGAGTGGCAGCACGGACCAATTCCCAGCGCGGCGGCCTGAGGGCAATAGTATGAGATAATACACGTGACGTCACGTGCGTACCGGCAGTTCTCCTCCCCACCGAAACCGGCCGATCAGGGCGAAATCCAACCATGCGCTCAGATCGACTTAACTTTGCTTCAGTTCCAGCATTGTTTCTTTGATACGTGCACCGTCATGCTCCGGCGGGCCTGCAGAATAAGGCCTCTCCGGTCAGTACCGCTCTCACAATCGATCCGCTTCTCATCCTCTCTCTCTCCGCCGCTGATCTCTATCAAGAACGCAACCTTTTACAAGTCTGCTCCCACGGCCCAAGACAAAACTCAAGGCACAAACGCGCCCCTGTTCAGAGGCATCGATTTTACCCTGCCGACCGAGCCTTTAGAGGAGGACAATTTCGAAGTCCAGACTTGGGCAATAGTCGGGCGCTCTGACAAGACCCAGTTTCTCGAGATCCTTGGCGGCAAATACATATCTGACCCCCCCAACGGGCGGAGTTACCCGTACCTTCTCAGCGATGAGATCGCCCAGCGCAACCCCCGAGCGCGATTCCCACAGAATGCGATCCGATACCTTGGTTTTAGTGGGGAAGGCTCCGAAGCCAATGGGGGCACGCGGGGCGCCTATCTGAGTGCTCGGTATGAGAGCCTGCGGGAGGAGACGGACTGGACAGTGCGCCAGTTTCTCCGCGGCCAGACCTCGTTGAATCCGCTCCCGGAGCAGCGAGGTGGTACCGTTGATGACGAGGAGCTGCTTGCCCGGGTCATCGACGATCTGCGGCTGGGTGAACTTCTGGACATGCCGGTGGCCAACTTGAGCAACGGCCAAATGCGACGGGCCCGGGTCGCCAAAGCCCTGCTCGACAAGCCGGAAGTGCTACTTCTTGACGATCCTTTCAGTAAGTCCTCTTCCTGGCCAATGTCCCCCGGTGTCGAATCACCCACTGATTCAAATCGCCTCCAGTGGGCCTTGATCCTGAATCCACCACAAGAATGTCGGAAGTCCTCCGCCGCCTCGCCCGCAAGGCAGAACCCCGGTTGATTCTCGCCTTCCGCCCGCAAGACCCATTGCCAGACTGGATCAGTCATGTTGTCATACTCGGCGACGGCCAAGCCGCGATATACGCGGGGCGTCGGACACTTGCACATCAATTGACTACTGTATGGTCATACTTTGCCCAGTCCCGCCGCTTCGGCACGCATCTCATTCATGCCGTTCCACCGTATGAGAAGGATGTCATGGACAGCTACAAGAGGCTGAACAAAAACACCGAAGGAGGCTACCATAAGGGTTTAGTGAAATCGACATTGATCGTGACCCGAGAATACATGCAGGAGTTTTTGAGGGGCTTTGCGCCATCTTCTCTGTCCGAAGGCTCCGCGCCAGCCAAGCTTCATCCGCCCCGGGGCGGCGAGCCCTTGATTGAAATGGAAGGGGTTCGCGTGCAGTATGGAGACAAGGCGGTCCTGGGCAAATGGTCGCAGTCTGTTGACGGCGAGTCGAAAGAGGGTCTCCACTGGACGGTGCGTCGCGGCCAGCGCTGGGCCATCCTCGGCGCCAACGGATCTGGCAAGACGACGCTGCTCTCGCTCATCACCTCCGACCATCCTCAGACTTATGCGCTTCCCGTTCGTCTTTTCGGCCGCTCACGTCTCCCTGAGGAGGGCAAACCGGGTATCTCCATCTTTGAGCTTCAGCGGCGCATCGGTCACTCCTCGCCTGAAGTCCACGCTTTCTTTCCCCGTCAACTCACCCTGCGTGAAGCCATCGAATCCGGCTTTTCTGAGACCTTCTTGTCGCGGCCGAAGATGAACTACGAGCGCGATCTGGACGTGGAAGCCATCCTGGAGCATTTCAAACCTGAACTCAGCGCTCCCCTCGCGCTCCCACGCAATAGATCAGGTCGCAAAAAAGGAATCATTACGGCAACCACTGGCAAGATGTTCCCGTTACACGATGCTCACCACTTCAGAAAGGAGTTCAATCCCCCTGGCGTTGAGATGGAATGGGCCGACACGGCCACATTCGGGCAGTTACCTGTCGACCTTCAGAGGCTAATTCTTTTCTTGCGCGCTCTGATTCATCGACCTGATATCGTCATTCTCGACGAGGCATTCTCCGGAATGTCCATCGGTCTACGCGACAAGTGCATTGACTTCCTTGAAAATGGGCTTGGCCCGGAGTCACGCTTCGGCGGTCTCTCCGATGAGCAAGCCCTCATCATGGTCAGCCATCTCCGTGAGGAGATCCCAGACAGCGTGCGCTACTACATGCGTCTGCCGTCGAGAGAACAGGAAGGCACCTTCCGCTTCGGCCCGCTCCAGTCGCAGAGCTCCTTGCGTAGCCCCAAGATTTGGAACATGCTGTGGGCGCCGCCAGAGACCTACAACAAGAGGTCCGCCCCAGCTGATCCGACGGAGGTCCCAGAAGGCGAGGCGGTGCGAGAGGACTACAACCGGTACGATTGGCGATCCGTCTAGAAGCTCGTAGAGTTAGACTTTTGTATAAAACCACATAAAACCACATCTGGGGGGGTTGGTAGATTGATTGGATTTAGCGGATGCTTAGATGTATTATTACGCTTGACATAGAATGTACAATGCGCAACATGAACATAGAGATCTCAGGCCCTCATTACGTACAGTCTTCTGCACAGTAAACTAGAGTACCTAATCCAGTACATACCCCGCCAATTGAGGGCTGGCCAGAAAGCCGGAATAGCCGAGTGCGGGGGGGTCATCCGGGGTAATGGTTGACCGAGCGGGTTATCCGAGCTCCCCACGGCTGTTCCTTAAATCCATCCCTGTCCAACTCCCACCTCTCCCTCACAATCTTGTATAGAACCTCTGAGGTGCAACACCACTACCACCAGCAGGAATGTCTAGCACGAATTGGGCCCTGTCCGCCCCATGGATCTGGGTCCCGCACTACCTGGAAGAGGATAACCAGCCCGGACGATACTTTCTATTCCGCAAAACATTCCAATGGTCTGGAACCGCTCGCAGTGACCAAGAATGCCTCGTGCACGTCTCCGCCGACAGTCGCTATCGCTTGTTCGTCAACGGGCGCAGCGTGAGCTTCGGCCCCTGCAAATCGCATCCCGGCAAGTGGTACTATGAGACGGTGGACATTCGCCCGCACCTCGTCGCCGGCGCGAATGTGATCAGTGCCCGGGTCCTGCGCTACTCGAGTATCGTGGCTGGCTCTTCCTCAATTGTCAGCTCGCCGTTGCCGGGATTCATGCTGTATTCGACGAATGAGGTAGGTTGATTGCTGTGTGGGGATTCCGCTGCCCGCGTTGCTTCTGTTGCTTTTTCCTGCACGGCCACAAGCACACTTTGATGACGTAAGGAGCTTATAGGATGTCCCGATCTCCAGCGATGTGTCGTGGAGATGCCGGGAGCAAAGGTCTGTGCAGATAGTTCCGCACGCGGAGTGGAATTTCCTGCTGGGACCGCCGTTCATGGCGAACAATGAGCGTGTTGAGGAGGATCCGGTCCTGCGTGGTTGGCAAGACGCTGGATACGATGACTCCGCATGGGAGTCTGCTGTCGTACAGTCCAACGCGGTCAAGATGATGCCCATCGTGAGCCATTGGCAGCTTAGCCCGCGTCCGATCCCTTCTCTGCCAGAGATACCTTGCGGTTTCGATGGAGTCGCCAAGTCTTCTGGTGCAGTTCCAGCGGAGGACTGGCAAGCGCTCGTATCCAGTGGTCAACCTGTAGTCATCCCGGCGGGTGAGAGCGCAACGGTCGACTTGAGCGTGGAAGAGCTTATGACTGCTTTCATCAACCTGTCGTTCAGTGGAGGGTTAGGCACACGCATCACAGTGCTGTATGCAGAGTGCTACGAGAAAGACCTAGGGGTGGATACCGCTCCTTTCCCCATGCCACGAACCAAAGCCAACCGCGCGGACGTCAGCGGACGTCTCTACGGGCCAAGGGACTACTATACTGTCACTGCTGGCCAGGAGACGCACTCCTTCGAGCCATTCTGGTTCCGCTGTTTCCGCTACGTCCAGATCGAGATCACCACGATCGACCAGCCCTTGACGCTAAACCGGATATCCCTGCGAGAGACATCGTATCCACTGGAAATCAAGACGAAGATCCACGCAGGCGATGAACTCACCAAGATCTGGGACATAAGTCTGCACACCCTCAAGAACTGCCGCCACGAAACCTTCGAGGACTGTCCATTCTACGAGCAGAACCAGTTCGCATCCGACTCGCGGCTCCAGATGCTCTTCAACTACCAGCTCTCGCCGGACGACCGCTTGGCCCGCAAGACCATGGAGGAGTTCCACGCCAGCCGCACCGCCGACGGCCTCATCATCGCCCAGTACCCCACGGGCCTCCCGCTCAAACAGATCCCGCAGTTCTCCCTCTACTTCATCCTGATGGTGCACGACCACATGCGGTACTTCGGCGACCAGACCCTCGTCCGCCGGTACCTAGGTACAGTTGACAGCATCCTGAACTACTTCGACCAACGCCTCGACAGCCGGGGGCTGGTGGGCCAGTTCGAGCCAAACACCTGGCCCTTCGTCGACTGGGTCAAGGAATGGTTTGTGCCCGGTCAAATCTTCAAATCGTGCATGCCGCCCGCCTACCACGCCGACAGCGCCGGGGCGGCGACCATCAACAGCCTCCTCTACGCAATGACCCTCCTCCACGCCGCCGACCTGTGCACCTTCTCGGGCCGCACCGACACAGCCAACGAGTACCGCGCCCGCGCCGACTCCCTCCGCCGCGCAGTAAACCAGCACTGCATCGGCCAAAGGGACGGGCTATACACAGACGGGCCCGGCGTGGAGCAATACAGCCAACACGCGCAGATCTTCGCCATCCTATCGGAGACCGTCACCGGCGCCGAAGCGGCAAGTCTCATGCGCCGGTGCGTTGAGCAACCCTCCTCCCTGCCGCAGTGCTCCTACGCGATGAAATTCTACGTCTTCCGCGCTGCCGAGAAGGCCGGCGTCTACGCGGAGGTGTTCCACCGCCTGCTCGAGCCGTGGCGCGCCATGATGGCCGAGAACCTGACGACTTGGGCCGAGGACGACGTCAACGCGCGCAGTGACTGTCACGGCTGGAGTGCCTGTCCGGTCAATGAGCTGGTCACGCAGGTATTTGGCGTGACGCCGGGGCTTGCGGGGGCTCCAAGGATCCGGATCGAGCCGAGGCGGGAGCTGGTGGAGCGGGCGGAGGGGTGGTTGTGGACTCCTGCTGGGGAGGTGAAGGTGAGTTGGGGGACGGATGGGCCGGTGGAGGTTGAGGCGAAGGCGTGGGTTACTGTAGAGGTTGTTGCCGGGGGGAGGACGGATGTTGTCGAGTTGGAGCCGGGGAAGGTGGTTAGGGTCTAGGGAGAAGTCCGACTCTAGGGGCTGTATGTGCTGTTTAGTGGAGTGGTGATTATAGACTTTGTAGATTTTTACACATACACTGCTTTGAGAAGTCATTGTATATCAGGGTTGCATATTGTGTGATACCATCCACCGTGCACCTGCAAAATCTGTACTGTACCATTTAAGCCTTCTAGTATAATCCAGCAGGTGGAATAAATCACCCTTCGCTAGAGATTACGAAGTTCAAACCCAAGTCCTCAAGATCCTGAACCCAAACCCCAAACCCCGAGCAAACAAGGTACTGTACAAATGCAGTGCCGGATCCAGCGACACGCAGCCCACAACACGCCAATCACTGCACGGAAAGGCAAGGCACGACCACGGCCCGTGGCCGGAACCATCTGCCTAGGGATGTTGCATCACTCCCCAAAACTCTGATTTCGATTGGAATAGAATAAGATCTACATCCTCGCCAGGGAAGTTGCGGGCAAAAGCGAGGCAAAACAAAAAAGCGAACTCCGATAGGGGGAATCGAACCCCCGGCTGCCGTGTGAGAGACGGCGATGTTAGCCACTACACCATATCGGATTGTTGTTGAAATTGTGGGGTCTTTTGATTATACTCGGAAGAGATATGGCTATGTGAGCGGAAGAGGTAGATAGGCCGGGTTTTCTTGGGTCGGAGGGTGTGCATTGGATGGTTGTATTGGCTGGGCTCTATGCGATGGCATATTATATTGCTTTCTGATGTCGTCGAGCTAGGAGGTGGTATTATGGAAGTTGGATTCTGGATAAGATTATAAGTGGTTTTGGTGTTCGATGTAAGAATAAAGAGGGAAGATCGAATCGGTAGACTGGACGATAGAAGTAACTTATGTGTTCCTTATAAGGGTAATCTAGCTTAGGGTATTACTAGTTTTGAATTGGCCAACATTACTAGATATGTTGTTGATGAAACTAAGTCAAGTCAAGCTAAGCCTATCTACAATGCCAAAGGTGGATATCCTTCAATCTCATTTATGGATTGCACTGCATTGGACAGTATCCAAAGCAGAGCCCGCTCATTTATAGACTGCAAGCAATCTCATACTATATCCTGCACGTATTATCAATACAGAACATGCATTACAAGATCTTATCACCCTTACCTTACCAAGTCCAATACACATACATACATACCATCTTCCAATACAATACAGACAATACCCGAGCCCAACGGAATCTCCACCCGTAAACAAAACTAGCCCAAACGTCCTCTCAAAATATCCACTGGCACCCACCCAGAAACAAAAAAAGAAGCCACTGCCCACAAAAGCACGCCCACACACACACATCCATGGACAAGAAATCCTTCAAAATTGACTCACTATCGTGCCAGCCACCCTTCCTTCCTTCTCTTCCCCTCCTATTCTCCCCCCACTCCCTCCAACGCGCAAGTGGATTAATTAACCCTTAACCGCTGTAGCCCGTCACTGCACCTATGCCTTTTACCCGGTGGGAATTGGCTAACTCTCTGAATGAGATTCTACGTAGCCGTGAAGAATTGAGGGAAGGGGATAAATGATTGGTTTTACTCTCGAGGGGGATTTTCGAGTGGTCGAAGTGACAAAACTCTTGCCGTGCGAGGCTGCCGAGAAGTGGATCCCCTTTGTTATCTCAGCTCTTTTCTCTTTTTTTTTTTTTTTCTGTCTTCTGTATTCTGGCAGCGTGGGCAGGCAGGGCCATGGTTATGGGAGTGGATGCCCACCGTCTGCCGGGTCAGCCACGGGGCGCGCACTTTTACCCAATCAGATTAGATGATCATATCATCTAATCAGATCAGATGGGTCTGTTCTAGTGACACCACATCTGATCCGTTTGGGTTCCGAGGTTGGAAATTTTCCTCTTGGGTGCTCGATGACGCTGTTGTTTTCGAATAAGTCTTTCACGATGCGATGCGATGCCCTTCAAGATTCGCTGTATAGCGTTTCCCAAACATTGACAATAATTCACTAGGCAACTAGACAAAGCTTGACATTTTATAAAGAAAAGAAAAAGGGTATTATCACATTTTAAACCAGAAACAAAATCCAAATCTGTCCCACCCAAGGCTCAAGTCATAGCTGCAGCTGTAGCTTGCCCGCGCTGCTCCAACACCTGGGCAGCGACTTTGCGCAAGTCGACCTTGCGCACCTTGCCGCTCCCCGTGACGGGAACGGTGCGGTCGATGCCCTCCTCGCCGAACACAAACACGTGCTGCGGGGCCTTGTGCCACCCAAGCGTCTCGCGGGTCCAGTTGCGCAGCTCGTCGACCGATGGCCGCTGGTCCTCGTGGCCGGCGGCGATCGCGATGAAGGCGCCCACCACCTCGCCGTACTTCTGGTCCGGGACGCCGATGACGGAGGCGAGCTCGATGGCCGGATGGGCGGCGAGCCGCTCTTCAATCTCGAGGGGGTAAATGTTCTCTCCGCCTGTTCCCGTAACATTAGTCGTTTGATGGTGTGATATAGTAACAGTGACGAAGAAGGGGTCAGTCACGTACCGCGGATGATGATGTCCTTGAAGCGACCGGTGATCGTGCAGTAACCTTCCGGTGTGAAGATGGCCTCGTCGCCCGTCTTTAACCAGGTCGTGCCCTCCGCATCCGTGGTGAGAGTCTCCGCCGTCTTATCCGGGTTGTTCCAGTAGCCCTTGGTCAACTGGTACCCGGCGATGCAGAGCTCCCCGCGCTGACCAACAGGGACGATATTGCCTTCGGCATCGATGATCTTGGCCCGGGCATGAGGCATGACCTTGCCTACTGTCTTCAGTCGGGTCTCGATGGTATCCGTGGTGAGCGCGTTGAAACATGTGGGAGACGCTTCAGTGAGACCTGTTCAGAGTAGAAGACACATCAATGAATTGTCTAATTGGATTTTTTCCAGAGCATCATCGCTTACCGTAGCTGCTGGTGTATTGTGTCATGTTCAGCTCCTCGAAGAGTCGCTTCATCAGGGGCCGAGGGACTGGTGCTCCAGCAATGATCCCAGTGCGGAGGTTGCGGGTGTCGAATTTGGGGGGCTTGGGGAGGGCCAGGATAGCCTCGAACATCGTGGGGACTCCGTGCAACGCGGTGCACTTCTCGTCGGAGATGGCGTGGAGAACAGCCTTGGGGTCAAACGTTTCGCTGGGGAAGACTATCTTGGATCCATGGGTCACAACAGCCAGCATGCCCAGCACCAGGCCGAAGCAGTGGAACAGAGGCGGGGGGCAGCAGAGGACGTCGAAGGAGGTCAGGTCCATACGGTCGCCGATGAAGCGCGAGTTGTTGACGAGGTTACTATCAGACGCAGCTTCGGTCAGTCAAGATGCTCGCCAACACACCTGATGTAGGTGAATGTGCATGTCTTGCATCACCCCCATCTAGCTTTGAATACTTACTGATGTGTGAGCATAGCAGCCTTGGGGTTTCCCGTCGAGCCACTGGTGAATTGGAGATTGCAGACATCGGCGGGGCTCAATTCCATTTCGCGGTTGGGCAAGGCAGAGCTGGGGAGCGATGACCCGCGGTGTATCACGTCGTTGTAAGTGCTGAAGTTCTGGTACTCTCCCCGCAAAATGACAATTTCCTCCAATGCGACAGAGTTGCCGGCTTGCTTGGGCTTGGGACCCATCTTCTCCAAAACCTCTTCCAGAGAGTGACGGCCAATACGAGGGGTCATAAACAACACACGAACGTCTAAGGAAGAAAGCGCTTAATTTAGCCACTCATGCTGCCAATTGAGCAAGCGGATAGCAACGAACCTGTATGATCAAGAGCATAGTACAGCTCGGAAGGAGTGTATGTATTGTTCAACACCACCAGGATGGCTCCCACGCGGGCCGCGGCGAAGAAGACTGCGATGTACTGCTCGCAGTTGCCGGCCATGATACCGATACGGTCGCCTTTCTGGATCCCCATCGCCAGCAGGCCCCGAGCCAGCCGGTCGGCCTCATCGTGTAGGTTGGTATACGTCCAGCGAGCTCCCGTCCAGGGAAAGACCAAGCATTCGTAGTCGCCATAGTGAAGGCTCTGGAGCGTCAGCAGCTCACCCAAAGTGATATCGAGCAAAGCCGGCTCTGTGGGACCCTGCACGATTGAGAGTTGCTGAGTCGTCCGAGGGGACTGGAAGTGAGACAAAGTCTGCTGAAGACGCCGTACAGTAGCCATTGTGACGGAAAGTGATGGATGAGAAAACTAACGGACAGGGCAAGACACAAACAAGGGAGCCAGCCGCCGGGGGTCCTGGGATCTTATCAGATTAGAAAAAATCTACCCGGTCAAGCCCGGGGGAGAAGAGAGGGGCTTTGATTTCATCATTGTCTCAAACCGGTCGCGGAATCCACTCTGCATTATCACTCCAATGGGGCGTCGTGGAGGCCTCGTCGGACTGGATCTTTGGACTCGCGCGATTCTTGGCTGCGGACTGGAGTGGCCAGTCCACCATTGGACCGAGATGATATTAAACCCAGTCGCATCCCCACATCGGTCGTCGGACTGGATTCTGCAGATGGGCGGTTTGCAGAAAGAGAGGCAACCCGGGAAGACCCAGAACCTGACCTGACTCCACCTTTGACGTTCTTGCCCGAAGTGCCTAGAAGAAGTATCGGAACGTCGTCGGAGATAGCAGGGGACTGAGTGATGAAGGGAAAGGAAAAAGATGGAAAGAAAAATAGATCAAGTACCCCTCCCGGCTGGGCCATGGCTTCCAAGGTTTACCCCTCCTCGACACTGCCGTATCAAACCCCTGGTATGTAATTTACCGGATCAGATAACACTGAGTACAGCAGAACTATGGTCACATTATGACTGTAATCTGTCAGATATACAGTACAGTACGTCACCTGTATCGTACGGGCTGCTTCATACTTCGCCCCAATACTATGGCACCCTTGCAAGTCCTGCTTATAGCACAAACAGAAGCTAGGTTGAGCAAGTATTAAGTTACTGCCCATTACTCAAATGACTCACTGTGCAGAGATATGTCCCAAAAATATCCCACGTATCCAGCCCTAATGTCATGTATGCCATGCCTGCAGACGTTGCTCATCAGTGACTGAACTAAATTCATAAGACGTTGCTACAAGCTAAGAGACCAAACTATATGTGGGGGTTACCAGACAGGATTTGAACAAATAAAACAAGTGATACCATTTTCATTACAAGTCAATCGCAAAGTTACCACCTCGAAAGAATGCCATCACGTCTCGAGACGCAGGCATAGCTGTCTCATATGCAATGCAACCGCACAGGCCACCATGCAGAACAAAACGTGGATCAAACAGTTGCAACTGTAGGCCAAAAGAAAAGTCTCTCATCCCGGTCAAACTCCATACATGCAAGGATTATACTAGGCTGATGGACGGCAACACCCGATTTTGCCTATCTTGGTTACCTTGCCGACTGCAGTCCGCGATCCTGGTAGATTCTCGGAATTATCAATCTGGATCAAGCCTGACAGGCCAACTGGTAAATGTACGTCTCGAAAAGTAGGCCTTGCGCTCGGAGCCCTCGGAAGCATCTGTGCTGCCTCGGCTAAAGGTACAGTACAGTGAACCTGGATTACTGTTGTTCGGGCTAGGTCGAGTCATGTAAGGCTGTGGGACTATGATGTTTCCACTGTACCGTGACAATCTGAACTGAGACCAACGAGGTAATTGTCTTCTGAAGAATGAATTCTATAGTAGACGAGGATGTTTATGACATTGAGATCTGGAAGCCCTTTTAATGGATTCTACCTCCGAACGAAAAGCGCTTCTAGTGTGTGAGGAGCATTAGGTAAATTCGATCTATTCCATCAAGACAAGTACCAGAAGATCGTAAGAAAACAGAGTAATGACAGCAATGTCTCCTGCCTAGGCGGGATGGTTAAATACGAAGCTTGCCTTGATTCCAGCCTGTCAATGCGAGACCCGCTTGGGCTAGATGAAGTAAGTGATCACTCTCGGCGGCTGTTGAGCTGAAGAACTTAGCAAGCGTGATTGTCATTAGTCAAGGGTGAAGGAGGGGGAACCCAGCGGGGCGTTTCAACTCGAATAAAGCATAGAACTCGGAAAGAACAAGAAATAAATTAGGCAGCTCTTCTTCTTTCTACTGGACACATTCTGTGGCAGATCTAATCTGATGATCTAATCTGATAAACCAAGTGGCTCTGCAAAGGGAAGTTTGTACGAGTAAAACTACTATAATATAGCCGACTAGGATGTGGCCCGTTGTTGCTTGCAATACTAGACTTGGCATATGCCTTTCAACGAGAGTATAGTGAAGATTTGGTGAAGTCTCGGCGAAGCCTTCATAAAGTCAGAATAGGAATACTTGAAATCTGCAAAACATATAAATGAACTTGCCAGAAGTCACCGAAACCCGCCACAGCTGGAAGCAAAACCTCGCAATTTAAGTTTTATCAAATAGTTTCAGGTCAAGTGCACCGTCTCTGCCACATTCTAATTTTCTTAGACCCTATTTCAAGGGTGGTATGAGGTTACACAACAAAAAACCCGACGATGGAGAGCGTCCTCGAGTCACGTGATGATAACTTCCAGCTGCAGGTGTCACATGACAACGCGTCTTCTTCGTGTCACCCGAAAACAACATCTACCTCATCATACCCCAATCAGTATCTTATCGATGATACTGCAACTCATGGGTGATCAGCAATGGACTGTATCCTGAGTGGTCTCAATTCCTCCCAGTCCACTGCTGTGACATCCCCGGCTTCCGTCTTGCAGGTCCTCGCGCCACCGGGTTCGGGCAAGACAAAGACTTTGACGGCGCGCGTCGCGTATCTTCTAGCGCACCATAATTACCGCCCTCAAGATGTCATCTGTTGCACATTCACTATCAAAGCCAGCCGGGAGATGCGGGAGAGGCTGACCAAGCTGATTGGTGAGGACTTACAGAAAAGACTGCTCCTGGGAACCTTCCATTCGATCTGCCGGCGGTATCTCGTGATCTACGGCCACTTAATCGGATTGAAGAAAGGCTTCGGGATCGCCGACTCCGGTGACAGTACGTCTATCATCAAAGTGGGTCAAGCCTCTTTCTTGTTGATCTCCACGCGACCGTCTTCATGGTGAAGCTATATTGACTTGTGACAATTGGCAGAAAATCATCAAGCGGCTGCGCGTCAGTATCGAGCCTGGAGCCGCTAGAGGACGGATCTCCCGCCAGAAGGCCCAGGGCGTCGGTCCAGACGAGGTTGCAGCAAGGATACAGACAAAGAACAAGACCACAGAGCAATGGGACTTCGTCCAGGTCTACCGTGAGTATGAAAGGCACCTGGCGGAGTCGAATCTGCTGGACTACGATGACCTGCTTGTGCGATGCGCCGACCTCCTGAGACAGCATCCGAAATGTGTTTCAAATATCCAAGCCGTCCTGGTAGACGAATTCCAGGACACTAACCTCATCCAGTATGAGCTCATGAATCTCTTTGCATCCCAGAACAAGCGCATCACCATCGTCGGCGACCCGGATCAAAGCATCTATGGCTTTCGCTCCGCAGAGATCAAGAATCTGGCACGCATGCAGAAACTATATCGCGACACATCCGTTGTCTTACTGGAGAACAACTATCGGTCGTCTGGGTCTATCCTGAATTCGGCACAGGATGTCATTGAGCAAGACACCTACAGACCAGCGAAGAAGCTGCAGCCAACACACAGCGTGGGAACCATGCCTGTGCTGCGGAAACTGGTAGATGCCGAAGCTGAGGCGCGTTGGATCGTCCTCGAGATTAAACGTTGTATTGGAACGACAGGCAAGCTCCTCAATTACTCCGACTTTGCCGTATTGCTCAGAACGGCGGCTCTTTCTCGACGCATTGAGTCAGCAATGGGAAAGAATGGAATTCCATACCGGATGGTTGGAGGCTCAAAATTCTTCGACCGAGTCGAAATCAAGCTGCTTCTAGACTACCTCCGGGTCATCAGTCATCCGCAAAACAGCGAAGCCCTTACCCGTGTCATCAATACTCCGTCGAGAAGAATCGGAGAAGAGACAATCAAGGCGCTCACCACCGGCGCCGAGAAAGCGAACTTGCCTCTCTGGGACTATATCAAGGGTGTAGCGCAAGGCCACCGGTCAGCCGACTGCACTCTTTCAAAGCTCACGAATCAAGGCCTTTGCACCTTCGTTGGAATCATCGAGTCTGCACGGAAAAAGCTCAGTAACACCACTGATAGTTCATCGCCACGGATCCTCCTTGACCATGTTATCAAGAAGCTGAATTTTCGAGAATATCTCAAGACCTTGCACGGATCTAATGAGGAAAACCGGTGGGCCAATGTGGAGGAGCTGCTGAGCCAGGCAGACGATACGTCTGGCTCAGACGGCCGAAATCCCGAGACCGAAAGTCTCCCCGTGATAGAGGGCCTTGAGCAGCAACAGGCGCACCCCGGGGAAGAAGCATTGTCTCGGTTTCTCGCGAATGTGGCGCTGTCCAGCGAGGTCACACTGCAAGAGGAAGGCTCGGAAGCGAACGTCTCAAACGAGAAAGTCACGATTTCGACCATCCATGCGGCAAAGGGACTCGAATGGCCCGTCGTCTTTGTTCCCGCCGTGTACAATGGCAGCATTCCCCACTCACGCGCCGAAGACTCCGACGAAGAACGGAGGCTGCTCTACGTAGCAATGACCCGAGCACAAGCACTGCTCTACTTGAGCCAGCCTCTCGAACAGTCGCAGGGAGGCGAGATGACCAAACTGTCCAATTTCCTTCCGGAGGAAGTAGTCGGCAATAGGTTCCGCTTGGTCGGCCCTGTCTTCAGCGACGATGTCGTTCATGGGATCGCAGACATCCTGCATCGACCCAAACCAGAGGAGGTAGCAATACAAGAAGCTCAAAGCACACTTACATCATTGTTTGATGACCGGTGGACGCAGGAAGGATACGAGCAAGTCGATCCTTCGCTTCAATATGGTGATCGGAAAGCAATGGTCGAGGGGCCGTATTCGAAGAGAAAGCGGTTTGACCAGCCGCAAACTACTGAAACCGACACATGGCTTCCTACTCCATCCCTAGGATTCTCATCAGCCCGAAATTACATCGCTGCAAGCAATGCCGTGGTCGAGGATCCAGCCACCGCAAAACCCGGTGCCAAAAGGAAGGCGATTGGCAGTGGTCCCGGTCGTAGGCCCGACGCTTCCCAGAAGACACTTTCCGGCTTCCTAGGACTGCCCTCCTCGCCAGCTACTACGACGGAGGTCGAAGTTACTGCCAAAACTCTCTCAGTGTCAGGCCAGAGAGGGACGTTGTCTGTACCCCCATTTCAGACGAGACCGACGAATGCCGCGGCGAAAGGGTCGATTCCGAAACCATATACCATGCACCGACCGCAAGTGCAGCGGCGGCAACCACCGCGACCAGCCCTCGAACCATCGCATCCGAATGCATACACGTGGCTGGCCGAGCCCACGGACCTCTCGCGGATGCCCAAGTCTATAGTCCAGAACAGCCACGAAACTTCTATTCAGCCGACATCAGCTGGCAGTATGAATACATATTCTGCAAGTACCGACCAGCTATCTCGGCCCGTCAGCACATTCCACACGACCACAATGGCAATGGTCCAGAACCAACCGCCAACGACGATGCGAAGGACCCTTGGGATTCGTCGGAGTAATGTGGATGGCTGGCAGGCGCGGATGCAGAGGGAAAGTCAAGGTCGGTGAGAGGGAGCCAGTTGGTGCTGGAAGATAGTCCACCGAAAGATTAGGCGTGACGGGTGAACCTTAAGAATGGCTTCGTATAAGTGCGTTGATCGAGCGCCGATGAGTAATTAGCTTCTACATAGCCCGCATATACTCCCAGGTTGGAGAAATGATATACCAATGTTGTTGAGCATAAACGAAGGTCTGAAATTGAGGGAATTTCAAGCTTGTAATGCACATCTCTCTCAAATGACGGATGCTTTACTACTATGCTCTACTGGGCGATAGACACTCTAACCTCCTAATACTGCACACTTATATGAAGCTTGAATGAGACCAAAATAGCCTCAGGACTCAGAATTCGGGTCCATGCAATTCATTGGAATAGTGCTTAGACAATCCCCCCTTCCGCCTCAAGATACTCCACCGGAAAAAGTGCTTATACACGCTCATCAAAACAGAAACAAGTGCTTTTTTTGGTTCAAAAGTACACGATCCCAGATATCCCCATCTACTCGATCTTGCCCTTGTTCACGACGAACCCCTCCAAGGCGGAGATGGCAGCCCACAGGCGGTTCTCGGCCTCGGGGAAGACCAGCGAGCGCTTGCTGTAGAAGACCTCATCGCTGACCTCCTCGGGGTGACGGGGCAAGCAGTGCATGAACTTCCAGCCCTCGTTGGCGCCGCCGCGCTTGGCCAGCTCGGGGGTGATCTGGAAGCCGGCGAAGTCCTGGAGGCGCTTGCGGGCCTCGGCCTCCTGGCCCATCGAGACCCAGGTATCCGTGACCAGCACGTCGGCGCCCTTGACCGCCTCCTCGGGGATGTTCGTCTGGATCAGCTTGCCTGGGTTTTGGACGTTCTGGCCGGCCTGCTGGATGAGCTCCAGCATCGAGGCGGGGATCTCGTAGCCCTTGGGGGTGGCGACGGCGAGATCGACGCCCATCTTGGCGGCGCTGATGGCCATGTCGAAGAGGACGTTGTTGGCGTCGCCGATCCAGGCGATCTTCAGCCCCTCCAGGCCGAGGCTGGAGAGGTGGTGCGCCTTCGGGGTGAAGGTCTCGTGGAGGGTCTGGAAGTCGGCGATGGCCTGCAGCGGGTGGAAGGAGTCGCAGAGGGCGTTGATGACGGGGACGGAGGAGTGCTGGGCGAGGCCGGCGACGTCGGCGTGCGGGCCCACGCGCGCGACGATGCACGAGACCATCGACGAGACCACCACGGCGGTGTCGTACAGCGACTCGTTGACCCCGAGCTGGATGTCGTCCTTGCCCAAAAACATCGGGTGGCCGCCCATCTGCACCACCGCGCCCTCGGTCGAGATCCGCGTCCGCGTGCTCCGCTTGCTGAACATCATCGCCACCGTCTGGCCCGTCAGCGCGCCCAGCAGGTTCTGCGGGATGGCGCCGGACTTGATGGCGCGCTTGTGAGCCGAGGCGTTGCGCACCAGCGTCGCGAACTCGGTCGGCGTCAGGTCGGCGATCGAGAGCAGATGGCGCGGCGCGAAGGGCGAGGTCGGCGGCAGGGTTTGCGAGGCTTGGTGCTGCAGCAGCTGGCGGGTGGCCGAGCTGCACCGCGCAGCGGTCATTCGGAAGGCGCCGGGCATGATTGATGTAGCTGTGTTGGGATTGGAATTGAGCTGTAGCAAGTATCCAGACCGGCTATATAACTCGATTATCGATGGCGGTGTATGACTCAAGTGATGTACGTGCAGTCACGTGCTGCGAGCAGCGATTCCGGTCGTGACTCGTCGGTTTGCAGGGGATTTGCAGGGTTTGCATGGTTTGCAGTCCGGGAGAGGGCAACTGATAATCAACAATTGCCCTGACTCATATCCATTGGTGATTCTAATCGGCTAAGAAAAACTTTCCTGGGCTTTTTTATCCGGACAGCCCCAGGTTCGGTTCACCCACATGGTGCGTGAGAAGAAGGCCCAGCCATGGCGAGATTCAACCGAGTGTACGGTGCATCAAAGAAGCGAATATCCAGTCCCGTAGGACAGAAGTCAAGTCACACAGTGCGTTTCGTCGAATTTCTTACGGGCCATCCTGCCAGTCAATTGAGTGGGCAATTCGCCATTCTTATGTGAGAAGCACACAGCAACCGCCCCGGCGCCCTGAACTCAGGGCGAGGGAGTGGCCCTAATAATGTACTGGTACCAATTTTTCCGGTGCCTGATGGACCCGCACTTCTGATGGCACTTTGATGAGAAGACAAATGCCAAGTGCACCTGCCAAAAGTGCCTACCGCTACATAACTACAGTTTGCCAGAGCTTACCAAAAAGTGGAAGGTTCTTCTCATTCCATCCAGACTTCTAGCGCCGGTCGGAAACAACGCCACCGGAGTTCCGCCGGGGAGTGTCAACCACGTGATGTTTTCTCGAACGGTCGAACTCGAGCCTGGCCCACGTGATCCCCCCAATCGATAAGCATTTGGTCTGCATTGAACTCTTCACGAACACTATGCTTAATTCGAGCTTAAATTTCACATCAACCATTTGGGGCCGTGTTGAGTTGCGCCACTTGAGGATTCAATTCCTATCTCCTTGAAAATGACCTCCCATCCATGTGAAACTGAAACTGACAGTAGCCCCCCTCGCCCAGAGCTTTACATAATAGTGAGCTCCAGCCCGCCGAGGGAGTGGGGCAAATTCTCTCGTTTTTCCCTTCCCGCCTTTCCCACCGATGGAACATGACGAAAAGCCGATCCAATGGTTGCAAGATGCGCGCTGGTTCCGAGTGGCAGCAGCGCCCATCCCAGATTTTGGTTGATAATGAAAAATGGAGAAAACTCTGCCTAGAGCCACATTGTCACTTAACCCAGCTTCCTCCCCCATCCTACTGACGTTTGCCTTTGCCTGTCACTGTGACGCCGCACACTTTCTGCAAACCAAGCTCTCTGGTCGAAGTCGTTGGCACGCTACCTACTCCAATACGGTAGCATTTCTGCTCTCGGGACCTGTCTTTCGATCCCTCCGCCAACATGGGCGAACTGGACAACATCGCGCCCGCGAATAAGCTGGGCGTCGAGAGTGTTGTCGATGACCCCAATTCTTCCGACAGCAACAGCGGGCTGCGGTCGCGACGCCGCTTTGGATCGGCGCAGGAAAATGGAAAGGATATTGAGAGTGATCACGAGGACGAGGGAAAGCTGAAGCGCAACTTGAAGAACCGCCATTTGCAGATGATCGCTATCGGTGCGTTTGCCCGTCCCCTCTTACAGGCTCGTTACCCGACTGATTGGTGATTAGGAGGAACTATTGGAACTGGTCTGTTCATTAGCAGTGGAACAGCGCTGGCAGAGGCTGGTCCGGCTGGTGCCCTTATCGCATACGCCTTCGTCGGCTCGATCGTGTACTCCGTCATGTGCTCTCTGGGAGAGATGGCAACCTATATCCCCGTTCCCGGAGCCTTTACCTCTTACGCCGCGCGTCTCGTCGATCCGAGCTTGGGCTTCGCCATGGGTTGGATTTATTGGTTTAACTGGGCGTCGACCTATGCCGTCGAACTGACTGCTACCGGTATGATCGTCAAATACTGGGATGAGAACCTGTCCGTCGCTATCTTTATCGGGGTCTTCTGGGTTGTTATCTCAGCGATCAATTTCCTCCCCGTCGGCTTTTACGGCGAGTTGGAATTCTGGTTCTCGCTGACCAAGGTACTGACTGTGTTGGGATTCATGATCTTCGCTATCTGCATTGACGCCGGAGTCGGCAGACAGGGTTACTTGGGCTTCAAGTATTGGCACAGCCCGGGCGCCTTTGCACCCTACTTGATCACTTCTGATTTGTCGGTTGGGAAGTTCGTCGGTTTCTGGGCGGTGCTCATTCAGGCCGGTTTCTCCTACCAGGGTACCGAGCTTGTCGGTGTTGCTGCTGGTGAGACCGAAAACCCTCAGAAGACTGTCCCTTCCGCTATCCGCAAGACCTTCATTCGCATTCTTATCTTCTTCGTCTTGACCATCTTCTTCATCGGTCTGTTGGTGCCTTATGACAACCCCAACCTCGCTAGCGATGCCGGCAACGCATCGGCCTCGCCCATGGTTATCGCCGCGAACCTGGCCGGTGTCAAGGTTCTTCCCAGTCTGATCAATGCGGTCCTTCTGACGGTCGTTCTCTCCGCCGCCAACTCCAATGTGTACAGTGGTAGCCGTGTCCTTCTTGGATTGGCCCAGGAAGGTTTCGCGCCCTCCTGCTTTGGCTGGGTCACGCAGCGTGGTGTGCCATACGTCAGCGTTGCTTTCACCGCTCTCTTCGGTCTTCTGGGTTTCATGAACGTGTCGAGCTCCGGAACCACTGTTTTCAACTGGCTGGTCAACATCTCCAGTGTGGCTGGGTTTATTTGCTGGACGTCCATCAACGCCAGTCACATCGCCTTCATGAAGGCGATGGCTGCTCGCGATATCTCCCGCGAGACCCTGCCTTACAAGTCTTGGGGCCAGCCTTATCTGGCGTGGTACGGATTGTTCTTCAATCTCCTCATTACCTTCACCCAGGGGTTCACTGCTTGGATTCCCCACTTCAACGTTTCCGACTTCTGGGTTGCCTATATCTGCCCGGTCCTCTTCGTGATCTTGTATCTCGCACATAAGGCGTGGTACCGCACCTCGTTTGTCCGTCCTCTTGAGGCGGATCTTGACACTGGCAGGCCGCAGTTCACCAACTGGGAGACCTCGAACCCCAAGGATGGATGGGGCAGAAGACTGTGGGACAGCATTATGGGCTAGACCTGTGCATTTCATCATAAACAGTAAGTTTTATACGCGCTCTAGATAGTGGATGTGTCGAGGTCATTATTAGATCGTTGGCAAATGTGTGGTGTGGTTGTGCCGATTGGCATCTGCTTTGAAGCAAGTTCTTGTATATACTATCAGCTGGGTTGCATTCATCTGCCATATTTAGCATTAGCTCGTTTAAATCTGTACTATAGACTTCAATTTATGATTTCCTGTTGATTTCAGCCTCTTAAGTATTATGGATAATGAGTCCGATGACTTGAATTGATACAACGAATAAGTAATTCAGCGTGTACCTCGAGGGCAGTATGGTGACTGCCCGGTTTATCGACCGATAAGATAAGAGCAACCGACCTGCGATCATTACCGGATTATTCATCATCGATCGATTGTTATCTCCGAAGTCTCCGAATATGCCGAGCGAGTTTCTGGCATTCATGCGACGAGAACTCGATTCAAGTTTCCCCCCACCTACAAAACCCAAGAGTCCTACAGCGCTTTACTAAAGCTCAAATCAATTTTCTTATTGGGAGCTCCTGCATTTTCACCCTTCTGAGGGCATTGCGGACATGACAAGGTCACGACAAATGATCGACCTCGCAGTCTTGAGCTGCCGATTTCCCAGACTCGCCCAGAAGCCCAGCTCAACGCTCGCAACCAGCGCGCGCCTCTTCTCGTCGTCGGCTACAGTACAATCCCGACATGGGCGCATTTCCCTTCACATCCCCCCGCCGTTCCCAGTGACCAAGTCATGCCCGGAGCCCAGCTGCTCATGTCCTCCCACCCCGGATCTGCCCGCACCGATTGACCACGATCACCCTCTCAATGGCACAATGGCGGCCTACGCGGAGCAGCTTCTTGTGTGCACCGGTCAGAGGGACTGGACGAGCCGCATAGAGGATGATGGTCAGGGACACAGCTGGGGGGATCTCGTGCGGGGTCTGAAGGGTCTACTCGGACGCGGCGGGCGATTCGCCGACGTAAGTTGTTACCCTGCCCTGTCACCGCTGTACAAATGCGAACCCGCTCGCCCTAGCAATAGCCACTGACATCTACATCGCCTCGAACAGCCCTACCATAACATCCTCATCACGAATTCCTCGTTCGCGCCGTCATCGCAAACGTCACCAGCCTCGTCCTCGTCCTCGTCCTCGTCCACCCAACCAGCAGCCTCCGCCTTCCTCTTCCCCAGCTTCAAATACTTCCCTTCCATCCCCACTCAACCATCTTCGGAGAACACAGAGAACACGGACCTCTCAACCTTCGTCCAAGCCCATCTCCTCCCCGCAAAGGCGCGACACGGCGGCCCCAGCCGCCGCCCGGAATTAGCGTCCGCCCTCCCCGAGGCCATCGACCTCCGGCACTCGCCCGTGGTCCTCATCTGCGGGCACGGCGGGCGCGACATGCGCTGCGGCGTGATGGCGCCCGTCCTGGAGACGGAGTTCCAGCGCGTGCTGCGCGAGAAAGGGTTCGCCGCTGCGGATGGCGACGGCGACAACGCAGCAATGATTGATCACCCGGACCGGGCGCATGTCGGGCTGATCAGTCACATCGGCGGGCACAAGTACGCTGGAAACGTCATCGTGTATATCCCGCCGGGGATGACGGTGGTCGGGGAGGACTCAGCTTCGGCGGTGCTGCATCCACTGGCCGGGAAGGGGATCTGGTATGGGCGCATCGAGCCCAGGCATGTGCAGGGCGTGGTAGAGGAGACGATTCTGGGCGGGAGGGTGCTTGCGGATCACTTTCGGGGTGGGGTGGATCGGGAGAGTGGGATTTTGCGATTGTGATGGTTGAAGTCGGGTCAGTGATCAGTGTCCAGTCTTCTTTTGGGCTGCGGTTGGCGCATTTTGTAAAGTACAGTAGAGACAACCAAGTACAATAGATCTCCTGCACATTGACGGGATAGATTTGAAGATTCTGGATTCCGGTGAGGGGGAAGAGTGATTGAGCCTGGAGTAAAGTTCTGGTTGGGTCATGTGCACAACAACGGGTGGTTGAGATAAGTTAATGGATTACGGATACGGAGTAGTTACTGTACTCTCGATATTTACAGATAATCCTCCGGGGATGACAATGAAAAAGGCGGGGTGCCACCGGAGAATTGCCGTTTTGTCATGGTGGGGCATCAACCCCACACATCCCACTCTCTCTCTCTCTCTCTCTCTCTCTCGCTGCAAAAGTGGCCAACTTCTAGAATCCCTCTAGGGTCACATTCTGAAGTTGTAACCGCGGCATGGGTGTAATAATAAAATACCCAATGCCCTCAATTGGCGATGCTCAGGAGCGAATTAACCGAGCAGGTTGCATGCAAATTACCAAGGCTTAAATTGGGCTGAGACAATCTTCCGTTTATGCTTGTCCTTGTGACTGGAATAGTCAACTATAGATAGCTATAGGTAATTACAATAGTAGTATAGGAAAAGTAAGAGTACGGAAAGAACCCCGCTGGGCGGGGAAACCGCCGGGTAAATACATGAGTAGTTATTGGTGGCAACTTGGATCCATTCCATCCCATACTTCATTATTCTCCATCCGATGCCATCTGTCTGCAGTCCAGCTCCAATGCTGATCATGGAGGGGCTCAAGCCCTTCCGAGCTTAACTATTAAAGCTTCCTGCGCCGCTCTTTTGCCATCATTCTCAACCTATCTCTTCCTCTCTTCCTCCTCCTTCTCACCTTCTCTTCACCCTCCGCCCTATACCCAATCTACCCCCGTCTTCAGCACCATGGCCACCGCAACCGTCACAGCGCTCGAGAAGCCCAACATCGGTGTCTACACCAATACCAAGCATGACTTGTGGGTCGCGGAATCCAAGCCCACGCTGGAGGAGGTGAAGAGCGGCGAGAGTCTGCGGCCGGGGGAGGTCACCATCCAAGTCCGCAGTACTGGAATTTGCGGGTACGTCTTTTCCCTAATCATCCCATTTTTTTCGAAGCGAAGAGTCAACCAACTAACAATCAACGACATTACCAGATCCGACGTCCACTTCTGGCACGCCGGCTGCATCGGCCCGATGATCGTGACGGGCGACCACATCCTGGGCCACGAGTCGGCGGGCCAAGTCATCGCCGTCGCGCCGGACGTCACCTCCCTCAAACCGGGCGACCGGGTCGCCATCGAGCCCAACATCATCTGCAACGCGTGCGAGCCCTGCCTGACGGGCCGATACAACGGATGCGAGCGGGTGCAGTTCCTGTCGACGCCGCCGGTGGACGGGCTGCTGCGGCGGTACGTGAACCACCCGGCGATCTGGTGCCACAAGATCGGGGACGAGATAAGCTACGAGGACGGGGCGCTCCTGGAGCCGCTGAGCGTGTCGCTGGCGGCGATCGAGCGCAGCGGGCTCCGCCTGGGCGACCCGTGCCTGATCACGGGCGCGGGGCCCATCGGGCTGATCACGCTGCTGAGCGCGCACGCCGCGGGCGCCACGCCCATCGTCATCACGGACATCGACGAGAGCCGGCTGCAGTTCGCGCAGTCCCTCGTCCCGGGGGTGCGCACCTACAAGGTCGACACCAAGAAATCCGCCGAGGAGAACGCCGCCGGCGTGATCCGCGTGTTCAACGACGCCGACGCCGACCAGACCTTTGACGTCGACAGCCCGACCACCCTCCGCCCGCGCATCGCCCTCGAGTGCACCGGCGTCGAGAGCAGCGTGTGCTCGGCGATCTGGAGCGTCAAGTTCGGCGGCAAGGTGTTCGTCATCGGCGTCGGCAAGAACGAGATGACCATCCCCTTCATGCGCCTCAGCACCCAGGAGATCGACCTCCAGTACCAGTACCGCTACTGCAACACCTGGCCCCGCGCCATCCGCCTCGTCCGCAACGGCGTCATCAACCTCCAGAAACTCGTCACCCACCGCTTCGCCCTCGAGGACGCCCTCAAGGCCTTCGAGACCGCCGCCAACCCCCGCACCGGCGCCATCAAGGTCCAGATCATGAGCTCCGAGGAGGACGTCCGCGCTGCTTCCGCTGGTCAGAAGCTGTAGTTGAATCACCCCTCACGAAAGAAATGAAAATGAATCGCCTGCTTTTGTTTATGTGTGTGTGTGTGTGTGTGTGTGTGTGTGTGTGTGTGTGTGTGTGTGTGTGTTTGTTTGTCTGGTTTGGTTTCAGGGTACTTAGAGAGAGGTGACTGGTCGCCTTATACACCAATTGAATTGAATTTATGGTATTGTTGTTCTTGTATTTGGCGTGAAAGTAGAGTAGAGTGAGTGTCTTTGTATCTTTGTATAGACCTTCATCTTTTGCGCACGCAGTGGGACGAAAGGTTCTTGGCATATTTTCAGTACGCAGTCAGTCTCGAGAGTGTGAGGAAGTAGTGACTGAATCCAGAATCCGGGGCGCAGAGGAACAAGAACAAAGTAGTCAGTTTACTCTACTAGCTCCGCAGCTTAGGCTTTTATATAGATGCATAGAATGCGAACTGTCTCCCCGGGTCCTCGCATGGTTCGCTAGCACTGTGTGTTGAACTCTGCAGGGAGAGAGTGCACTCGATCTATAGTCAGGCTAACGGGCTAAGCACTAATCTGCATGAATACCATAGCCTGAGGGGGTGCGGGCGGACTTTTCTACTGGTACATGGATTGAGAGGGGTCTGTGAGAGGAGTCTGGATGGCTGCTGGGTTGGTTGGTTTGACTTGATTCGGAAGGATAATAGACCCCGCCGTAAGGTCGGAGATCTGATCTTCCACTCGAACTAGAGACTGTGGATGAATGTGCTTAGATCTTCCGGGCTAGGTAGGATTTGTACATCCAGGTTCAAGCTGGGTTGCTAATGCTGTATAGTAGAGAAGCACGACGGTGTTATCGAAATTACAGTATTCATGCATCTCATGTATTCATCAAAGTTGACGTTATATCTCTACACGTATTGATACTGGCTTTCCGAAAATGACGATACTATATTTCTATAGTCCAGTCCAGAAACTCAGACGCGATTGGCCGAAATCGACTAATCCGACATGAGCCACTCCGGAATCGCATCCTCGTCGTCCGGATCTTGCGATAGTAATGATGTCTCGCTGTCCCTGCGTGAGGAGGAATCAGAGGATTGGGATTTGGGGGATTGTGCTGGGTTTTGGGCTTGGTCAGGAGCGTCGGCTGGCGGATTCTCGGCCGGGCATGGTGCTTTGCTGGCGTCCGGTGCGGCAGAGGGGAGAGGTTCCTGCGGATGTGTGCGATCATCGGGTCGATCGAGTTGAGCAGTGCGCGGGATTGTGGAGGCTTCGCTGGTGATTTTATCTGACGGTAAGGGTTCGGTGGACTCCTCTTTCGTCTTCGGGACGACAACTAGCGAGTAGCGCGGTGGTCCGGCTAGGCTTGGATGCGGAGATGTGTCTTGAAATGCAGCCGGGTCTAATGCCGCGGGTGCGGTTTGCGATTCGGGGACTGCGGGTGCAGTAAATACTCTAGCATTGCGACTTGTAGATGGTTCATCGTCCAGGTCCATGGGGCCTTGTGAGGGCGATTCTGGCAGGAAGCCGCCTCCTTCCATTGAGGGGTCTGGTGTCTCTGTGTCTGAGTCCGGTATGAAGCCACCACCTCCCATCGATAGTCCTGCTATCTCCGTGTCTGACTCCGGTAGGAAGCCCCCTGCTATCGACGGTTCTGCTGTCTCCGTGTCCGGTTCAGGTATGAACCCACCATCTCCATGTGTCTCTCCGTCCAATTCAGGAAAGAAGCCTCCTCCCATGTCGTCATCCACAGGCCCATCATCCTCCTCGCTTGGTTCAACGTCCGCACCCTCGTCGACATCATCACCCTCAATCGCATAGCCTTTGACCCGTTCCGCGATTCGAAGTTTCAAGAGCAGGTGCTTCCACGCTCTCAATACCTCTGCGGTCCGCGTTTCCAGCTCGTCATGCAGTCTTTCTTGCTCGAGACCGTCAATGACTGCCTGAAGCGCCTCGCGATATTCCTCCGCGACAATCACACCGGTATAGACAGCAGTCCCGTGGCGGCCCTGGAAGGTAAAGCCGGTTACAGCCGCCGCGAAGTCGACCCCGAGCAGTTTAGCCGCATGCGCCGCATCCGGGTGGCCGATATGGATCCCACCGGCCGGGACCATGCTGGGTACGTAGACATCCAAATTCCCGTAGACGTTCTTGGGGACTCGTCCGTCCACCACGGGTGGCGGAACGTAGACCTGAGTCTGAAAGATCGCGTAGAGCGGGGTCTCTGCGAGTGGTGCATCACGCTCTTCGTCATCATCTTTGGGCAGTTCGCTAGCCAAGGGTTTGCGGGCCTTGACACGCTTCAACGGCTGTTCGCCCGTTTTGATATCTCGGCCCAGCCGGTACCATTTGTCGGCGCTGCGCACAGTCTGGACGTCCGTCCGGCGGTACACCGGCTCTAAGGTCTGGTTCTTGGACCCCGGTTTGCCGAGGCTGACCTGTCCGATCGCTCGCTTCGGATGAATGACCTCGCTCCGTCGTAGGTGGCGTTCCAACGCGTAGACGGGGTGGTCCTTGAAATCTTGGATGTTGCGAGGCATGGGCTCGGCGGCGGTCTTGGCCGTGAGCTCACTGACTTCCAACTGGTCGCGGTCTTCGAGGAACGGTTTCTCGTAGACCCGAAGTGCGCGATCCCACCATGCTGCGTTGCGGGTGATGGACTCGACGCGGAACTTGCGGGTTTTGGCATTGAAAGCCTTGCTGTAACGGCGGGTCACATCTCGAGCGGAGGCATCGTCCTCGAATGCCACCACGTAGCTTAGTAGATTGTTCGGATCGGTGGCAGGAGGCTCGAATTTGGACGGTTTTGCGAGGGACCTCGTGACTAATGGGTCGACAGGGATCCATTTATTGATTGCCTCGTTGAATGCTTCCACCCAGAACACCGGGTATGACGACTCTTGACTTCGAGAGTATGGGACTTCGATGTAGAGATTAGCATGTTATCATTTCGATCAGGAAAAAACATATGGCCTACTTTCTCTGGGAGTGGTCGACGGACGTGATGGTTTGAACCCGGGCCGGGTGAGTCGCTGCACACCCGATCGTGACTTGACCCGTGTTGAATCATCCGAGGATTTCTCCGAGCTGTCTGCTGCCATGATAAATGTCTTGCCTGTCGACACGTTCGAGGTCATTTCCTTAGTGGCGCCCGAGAAGGGCAGAGGCTGCAGAGAGCAGACCAGCCGGGCCTCCACAGCTGCGGATCGTAACAAAGCACAGAACAATTGTGCACCAAAATCACGAGATCCTTGCAAGGTTTTCGCTTGTTGCCTGAAATCTTCGAGCGACGTGAACACTTCGGCATTAGAGAGGATCGTTTCCTGATCCAGGGTCAACCGGGGTACAGTTACATCATGAAAGAGGTGAGTAATACCACTCTTTTCTTTAGAGCATCTGGGCCCTGAGCCCAATTTGGTCGCTTGAGCCCGGGCTTTGTTACTTTGAATCGTTTACTAAATGCGTCACTGAGCTGGTTCAGGCCGTCGATGAACGTTGTAGACCTCGAATGCTCTGGTTTACTCTCGGGTGGGTGCAGCAGAGATATGACCTGCTTCGATATCATTCTCTTGAGTGCGCCCTAGTACGATAGTCAGAGCTGGAGAGCCGTTATAAACTATTCACGCATGCTACTGCCACAGATGCCAATGATAATAGAACCAGAACATACCTGAAGCTCATCATCATTGCACCATCTATTACGAATCTGTACGTGGCGTAAAAGGCAGAGAAGATGGACTTTATGGATGTCAAGTCTCAACCGCTTCTCTGCGGCCGTTATCGGCTGCCGTCTAAGTGCTCTTTTCTGTCTTTCACGATCTTGTGGTCGGTCCAAGGTGATTTGGATCGACGAGTCATCTGGTAGCGCTTCGGAGACTGCAGGCTGCAAATTGATGTCTTCCCACTCCATGTCCGACTCTTCGGACGAGGACGAGGGCGAGTCATACACCGTCTGAACCTGTCGGCTGGTGGTCTCTTCATTATCGACTGATGGCGGAGCTTTTGGAAGTTCTATCTGAGCGCTGGGTATCTGAGTTCGTCCTGCCATTTTGCGTCTCTTTGGTATGCGGTCATCATCGAGGAGCTGAGGCTCTCGCGCCTCGGCCTCGGCCAGCATTTCCCTGTAGACTTGGGGGATTCGCTGATCTTCACTCGATCCATGGTGCTGGTTTCGACCACTATGAGTGCGCCGCGTGGAGCGACGGGCAGGAGTGTTTACTGCCATTCAAATACAAGGACTGTATGTACAGAGGGGTATATGTACTCCGACGCGCCGGGGAGCAGGCGGACATCATCCGCGAGATGGGATCTAGAAGCCTTCCTATGACGCACTGGGCTCCAGGAACACGTGATAGGTTTGCAGTGTTTGCAGGGGCAGCTATCTCCCCGCTCAAGGTGTCACCTGGATTGGACATTGAGATGCACCGAATCTGAAGGATAACTGCTTGTTAATTGAGCTTTACTTGCCGTCATGCTGAGCACCAGATTATCTGTGGTTTCTGTCACAGACCTGACCTAAGGGAGTATGTATTCCGCTGGAGAAGCGCATATGGCCTCACTAGATAGTAGCACTGTATTGAGGATGACTATGTCCTGGGTATACAAGTCTATAGGACAATCAGTCACTTCAATAAACCTTTTCTCAACATAGGCATCGAAGTCTGTAAGTGAGACAATCCACGACGCAAGCTGCAAGAACAAATCTCCTACAAATAAACACCTTCCTCTTCCTCTTGTCCCCCGCCTTCTGTATCCCCGGAAGCATTTTCCGTCGTCGAGGCAGCATTTGTCTGACTTGGATGCGCAGGAGCCTCATGTGAATCGCCATTTGTCTCCTTTATCTCGTCCAGCTCGATCCACTGTTGCCCGCGATTCTCGACCTCCGTTTTGAGTAGCGTGACCCTTTCCATCATAGATGTGAGCACATCTTTATTCTCTGTGATATAGCTCTCCAGCTCTCGCTTTTCAGTGTCACTCTCACACGACTCGTCGATGAAGGTCTGAAGTTCTGCGTTCGAGCGATGGAGGTGGGCGATCGAATTTCGGATCTCGGAGACCTTGGCGTAGAGGACGGGGAGGGGTAGCTCTTGGATGGCTTCGGCGAAGGCGGCCGGAGAGATCGGGAGGGACTCGCCGGACATGGTTGTAGGTGTATTGGCCGCGTCACTGGGGTAGTGTGGTGTAGCAAGGTGGATTTCAGGATGATTTGATGATTTGTGGAAAGAAATACTATGTTTTTTGTTGCATGCTGTCAGTTGGTTGTCTGTTCTGATCCCCGTTGCGATGGTTGATACCGGCGGTTTATCACCACGTGACGATACTGCGATAGCGTTCGACGTTACTGTATAGCGAAGGTGTTGTGCTGCTTGTTGGTGCCACAGAGAGTTGAGGAAGTCATAGGAAGAAAAGCCTCAGGTCTCGGAGATCGTCAATTAAGAGCAGACTGGAGTTTGTTGTGATCTTCTCCAGCCTTCGGGTCGTCATCTGTTCCACGTCTGTTCAGCGCACGTTACCCAAGAATTCCCATTCGGAACAACTTCCGGCGGCCGGAGAAAATCGACCGATCCCAGCTTCCTTGGAATTTCTACTTGTCCATTGTCAGGTCAGCCCGCATCATTAAACTTGCATTGTGGTAGCACGGTCTCCAATTACTGCCGCTCGCTATGAGCAATGTCTTGGGCATAGCATGGCGCGCTCCATGCCCGGGGCTAAGGGCCTCGAGCCTCTTCCCCTCCGTCAGCCCGAAGGCGCTTCCCCTCGCCAGTTATCTCACTTCCTCCCTTCGATCTTCCAGCTCACGCCACAGAAACATCTTTTCAGCGCGCTCCTTCTGCTCTCTTCGTGATGCATCCGCGCTCCGCCACACTCGAAACTCGCTCGTCTTCTCTCCGGCCCCTACCCGTTCGTTCCAGACCTCCGCTCCGCTCCGCTCCAGCAAGCCTCCTGCCGTGGACCATGGTGTAAAGCCTCGCCCAGAACCCTTCTCGCTCGCCGACATCAATGCCATCTTCGGAGCCCGTGCGAAGGTCTCCCAGTTTATGGGGAATCGGGTCCTCGCCGTGCTTCACGGCCGACGACTCAATGGTACCCTGGATCTGGATCTCCCCGTCGACATCAGTCGATCGGTGCGCCCGCACAGTCTTGACGCAGCCCTGAGTTACCTTCGCGAACATTACCCCATGGACGAGGACGCGGCCATTATTGCCCGTATCGAGCGTGAGGAGCTGGAAGAGGAACAGAAGCTCATCAGGCGGGCCGAGGAGTTAGGTCTCTACAAGCCCCAGAGTGGTCATTACGAAGCCGAGCTGGGTGAGAACAAGGATGTTTCCGGAAAGAGTGTTTTCCAAGAGATGCGGAAGCGTAATGAAGAGCGACTTCTGGCTGAAGACGAACAAAAGCGCAAGGAGTGGTTGGAGGGTGCGGCGAAGGATCAGGAGAAGTACAAGCAAATGAGGGAGCGGAACACTGCCCTGCAGAAGTTCGAAGATACCTCCGCTTTGGAACGTAAGGATATTTGTGACCCGTTGAAGAGGAATGGCGAATTTGCTAAAACTTTGACTGCTATATAGTCCGCGAGCGCGCGGATCCTCGCGAGCGCCCTCTTCTTGCCTGGGTCCAGAAGCACCACCTTCGTGCCATGGAGACTGACGTTGACGTGACCAAGATGACAACGGTACGTTCACCTTACTGAAGGCATATGATCTTCCTCCCCAGCTCTTGCATGAGATGTGGTCTAATGATGCTATTAGATTCGCCGGATCGTGCCTTCGCTCATATTTAGTCTGGTTGCCCTGGGTCTTTGCTATGCATTTGCGGTGTTCTATGAACCTCCCGCGCGAGCAGATCGGCTATGGCCAGACACTCCTCGCGCTGCCGCCACGTTAATGGGCATCATCGGTATCAACGTTGGAGTCTTTGCTCTATGGCGGGCATGGCCACCAGCCTGGAGACTGCTCAACCGCTACTTCATCAGTGTTGCCGCTTATCCTCGCCCATTTAGCATCATTGGCAATGTCTTCAGCCACCAGAAGCCCTTGCATTTGAGTGTCAACATGGTAATGCTTTGGTTTGTTGGCACACGACGTGAGTCCCCTTGGCCTCCCTGCCATGGTCTTCGATGAACTAATCCTCATCTTCTCTTTAGTGCACGATGAGGTCGGTCGGGGCGAGTTCTTGAGCTTGTACATGGCTTCCGGTATTGTCGGATCCCTCCTTTCTCTGTCGGCGCATGTTCTCCTGGGCCAGTGGACTGTCACCGCTCTTGGAGCCAGTGGAGCGATTTCTGGAATTGTCGCAGGCTGGTGTATACTCCACGCAAAGTATGCATCTCTTTCTTGTTCGGGTGATAAACTATCATACTAATCATGTTCTCAACAGCGACAATCTCACCTTCTACCTCCTCCCGGAGGACTGGCAAGGAGTGGTCTCAGCCCGTGGGTGGTTTATCCTTTCCACCATTGTTGCTGCTGAAGTCGTCCGTCTGGCGATGACCTTCCGCGCCCCTGCCCTCGACCATTGGGCGCACATTGGTGGTTATATCACGGGGATCATCTGGGCAAGCATTAAGAACGCGAAGGAGAAGAAGCGGCGGGAGGAAATGAGCTGGTTCCAACGGCTGTTCTCCAACTAGCGACGGGCCATCCTCGCATGCCACGCAAGCTAGGCTCACCGGAGCCTTGTAAATACCATCGCTGTCATCAGGCACATGTATACTATATAGTACTTCGTTTCTTGAAGAATCCCTCACTTCTGGTTGTATATGCTGTCACTCTTTCCGTCAATAAGGGCTCACTAGTCTCTGGGTGTTATGCCTTTGGGCTAGCGTAAATGTCATCACCAATCGATAACAGCACTCGATCAGGTGGATTGTGTCTTCCGAGCTGCAGTCTGCAGGATTCCTCTGAAGGTGGGGCGGACGCCGTGGACCTGGTCGGTCCATGTGAGACCGCCCCGGGTTAATTTTTTTTTTTTTTTTTCCTTTGCTTGCTCGGAACCCCTCGGCACGCCCACGTATACTTGAAGCGGTTTAAGCCCAGACGGCCCAGCAAGTCAAGCTCATCTTATCGGGATTAGAGGCATGTCAAGTACAGCCCTATAGGGCGGAGCACCCACGTCATAGGATCATCTCGACGTCAACGAAGCGCGACGCAGCGTGTCTGCCTGCACTACAAATAAGTCCTATTGTCCATACTCGACAATCCAGGACCCGGCAAACCCCTGAATCTGATATCATCACCCAATCCCAATTCCAGACCTAAGGTGTTTCCTTCTTCCCACTTCACAACCCCGGCAGGAACACTGACCACCATCAGGCCTCAGCTCCCGTCACGCTCCTCTCGGCGAACACCCAGTACAACCAACCCACAAGTACCACCACCACCACAGCACCCAAACCCACATCTCTCCCCCCCAATGCCCCAAGAACCAAACACAATGCCCTACCAAGAATTCCCCGCCCACGAACGCGACCCCCTCCTAGGAGGCACCCACGACCCCAACACCACCCCACCAACAACAACAACAATAACGAACACTCAGCTCACCCGCCTGCACACCCACCTCACCACCCCGCTCACGCAGCGCTGGACCGACCTCCTCCTCCTGATCTGCTACATAATCACCGGCCTGCTCGACTCGAGCGCCGTCTTCATCTGGGGCTCCTTCGTCTCCATGCAAACCGGCAACACCGTGTACGCAGGACTCGGCCTGACGGGGCTCGACCCGACGGCGCGGTGGCAGAAATCCCTGCTCTCGATCGGGAGCTTCTGCGCGGGGAGTGTGCTTTTTGCCGGGATTCACCGCCATTTATCCAGGACTCGCGGGGCGCTGGCGCTCTCGTTCGCCCTCCAGACGGCGTGCATCGCGGCCGCGGCGACGATCACCAGCGTGTATCGGTCGCCCGACGGCGGGGGCAAAAAGGAGGGCCCGCTGGAGTGGACGGTGGCCGTGCCGCTGGCGCTCGTGGCGCTGCAGAGTAGCGGGCAGGCGGTCGCCAGTCGCGTGCTGGGGTTCTCGGCGTTGACCTCCGTCGTGCTGACTAGTATCTACTGTGATTTGTTTTCGGGGCCGGTGTTGCAGCGGTTCAGTTGGGTGCAGGTGGTGAGGAATCCCGATGAGTGGCGGCGGCTGGGCGCGGTGGTGGGGTTGTTGTTGGGGGTCGTTATGGGGGCGGCTTGGGCGAGGAGTGAGGCCGGGTTGGAGGGGGCGTTGTGGACGGCTGTTGGGTTGAAGGGGTTGATTACGGTGACGTGGTTGTGGTGGAGGGGGGAGAAGGTTGGTGGTGGGTTGGAGGAATAGACTCATTTATGGTGGGGATGCATAGGGGAAGTACATGAGTTAGGGGGATTCGGGGGGGGGTGGCTTGATGATGGAAAGCGAATAGAGACACGGACATACATACAATCAGACCGGGGGTGAGAGGATCAGCTTAGAGGGTCAAGATACACCATGATACAATGAGACAGTGTAATAGCTGGAAAGTTCTGATAACAGGTCATACAAGCGTATAAACAGAAGTAACAAATACAGGTAACCAAGGGCTAGAAACCCGAGGACCATTCAAAGTAGATTATAAAAGGCGAATCTGTATAGACTCCTATCTAAGCCAATAGATCTAACAGTAGGTCGATGATGATAGAACCATTCTCATTCAAGCCAACCCCCAGTGCCCTGGGGCTCTCTAATCATCGATGCGAATCTCTGACTCCCCTCCCCACCACGCTCTGTATAATCCAGCTCTACCTCCTCGACGACCTCCCACCCATGCTTCAAATACGACGGTACACCTTCCATCGTCGCCTCCAGGTAGATCCGGGCGTTACGGGCGTCTGCTTTCTCGATGCCCCATTCGAGGAATGCACTCCCAATTCCCATCCCTTGGTACTCCGGTAGGACGCACAACAGCTCCAGGACTAACCGTATCTCTAGCAGTCAATATTGTCCAATTCTCATACAGCGTAGCAGAATGGGTTGACATTAACTTCCTTAAATTTCTTTGATAGAGCAGCGAAAATGTAAGGGATCAACGAACCAAAATCAGCGTTCCTGAGATGAACGCTCGTACTCCGCGTGATCATTCCTTCGTAGAACGAGTAGGTACCCCTGTTCACCAACTTCGGGGCGTACGCCCACATATCCCGCATCTGCGCTTGCGCGTCGCTGCTCAGACCGGTGTCCACGGTTCTCTCGCACCCATAAATCGCGGGGATATGCCAGCGGCCGTAGGCGATGATGTCACTACTACTCCCAAGGACACCCGCCAGGATATGGCACTCGGGTTTGGCGAAGTACTCGAGGGCGCAGACGGTTTTAAAGGTGTGGACGGCCCCCGGATCACATCCCTTGTATGTGCTGCGCATGTAATTGGACGCCGGGAACGAGCGGATCTCCACGCGCACGAGGGCAGCCAGGTCCGATGCGTGGGCATATCGGATGTCCAATGGTACGGGTGGTGTACTGAGGGGCGTCATTCTGGACTGTGGACTGGCGTATGAGTTTGGAGTGGTTCGATTTTAAGGATAATGGGTTGAATTTGCGTGCGGATTGGAGAGAAGTGGTTCAAGTGATTCCAATCACATATGCCACAGTAATGATGATGACTCATAGGTAGAGCGATGGAACTTAGGCTATAGTCAGAGTTTAGATACTTTATTAAAGTATGTTCTTCTGTCTTGGTAAGTTGAAAAGTGAGTGGTACCAAGTTGGACATAAAGTAGGAAGGGAATGTTCTTTGACTGGAGTCGGCAGGAATCTAGTCTAATACTATCTTAGTAAATTGTTTTGCTGCAAATTCTACCAGCACAGTCGTGACTCGGGAATAATCTGTAGTTATATACTCTAGGTTAGGTATAGATTGCTCTGGCTTACTCAAGTCAGTAATTTCCTTCTACTAAGGTAATGTAATAAGTTACATAAAATAACGGGCTCTCTGAATCAGACCCTGCAAACTAACACCCCGCTGGACCTAGACCTGTAGTCCTGATACCAACCATATAGAGTGTAAAGATATCCCCAAACTAAGAAACTGTCTGTTTGTCTTTTTTTCCATCTCAAAATATTTTCTTACACCGATACACTTCTTACTGGACTTGGATCTAATTATCACCAGACAATTTACTCAACATATAATCAATGGGATTCCTCTTCTATCGCAAATATCGATAGAACCTATCCTACCCAGGATAACACTACCTGTCAATCTCTTCTTACATACTTCATTATTTCTCTCGAATCTCCCCATGGCTTGTTTTGATGTCATGTGCAGTAACCCGACCAGAACTACCCGAATATATCGCTTTGCTCCTCCGACCATTGAGATGAGCGCTATTCTTAATTGTGTTGCATGATCGCGCGGGCTCCCATCGTACAGGCATTACCAAAGCTACAGCTATTGCTGGCAAAGTTACGACTTCTTACTCGGGACTTATGTGAAAGAATAGTACTCTCGAAACACTTGGCACTCCCGGCGGTGTAACCCTCTCGCTTTTGTGACCAGCGGCAGCATGCAATCCGGCAGGGATTGGAGGATAGGAAACAGATCTAGCAAGCTCGCGGCCTGATGCAAAGGTGGAGGACTAGCTTAGCTTTAGCAATTGGGTCCAACGGTTGCGATCATGTGAAAGACAGTAACAGTGCCGTGGAGGTGGTAATCTCGGACTTTCGATCGAAGATCTAAGGTCTAGTTAGCCTGCCTGTCCGCATTGCCCCGCGTCGGTCGAGGAGATCCTTGACGGCTTGGGCGGAGTTGAGCACGACCACGGGGCGTGTCCCGAGCACGAGAGAGTAGATAGGACCGCATTCGCGACTCTATTTCTCAAACTGGAGGTGACTTTTCTGGGAGGGGATCTGGTGCAGGTTGCCCAATATCGGGAGCGTGGGGGGTCCAGGGGGCAACGCTTTGGGTCGTCGGCCGATTTTACTCAGTGTCCAGACCCCGCTGAGAAACATCGTAAAGACAACAGCGTAAAGGGTCTTGCTGAGATCGAAATACGTACCCACGCTCATGGTGAAGTAGCCTAGTGTTGTCATGGTCAGTTGGTCCGTTCCGAACGAAAGCACCAGACATGTTCAAATATGTTGTGAGATATATTGTATGTACTTGTACTAGGTTGGTTCGTGGAATAAGACCCATTGGGGAGGGGAAGGTACGGTAGAAAGCAAAATGGGAAACTTATGACACCTGCGAGAGGTGGAAGATAGATGGATTCTGCTACGTGAGGCTATCTACGGAAGTAGCTAAGAACCACCCAGGTGGAGGTGAGCGGCAGCCTGGGCGAGGAGCACCGTCGTCAAAAAGGATGAAGAAAGATAAGACAGGCTTTAATGCACGTCCTCAGGAAATGGCCTGGTCTAAAAGAATCCAAGAGGGTTGCACGAAGCCTCAAGAAAAGCCACTGGGGGAATTCCGATTTTCCCCTCTTTCGAATGCCATGGTAAGGCCATTTAGAAGGCAGTTCCTCCCATATTCTAGAAAACATTTGATCTCGAACTCTGTTATATGTGGTACCTGATAGATTCTCAGAAACATTCCTCCTCTCAGGACCTACGTACGCTATGTCACGAACCCATAAGCTCGCACTTGTCACCGGGTAACCTCTGATCTTGCCATTCCTCATCGCACCCTTATGCTTACTGCACCGTCCTGCCCAACGAGGCGAGCCAGCATCTGTCCGAAAATGGCATCACCTTCTTTCCCCTCGATGTGACGGTTGAGGAGTCAGTGGTATAGCTCAAAGCTCAAAGCTTGAAGCTCAAAGCCCGCATCCGGGAGCTCACGGGCGGATACCTCGACATCCTGCCCTGGTGAATTGCGCCTACATGAATCAGCTGGGTGCGAGCAGGCTGACTGACTCACTGACTGACGAATGACCCATGGATAGGGGGATTGTGTTTATAATGACGGCTATGGACACGGACGTCGAGGCCTTCTGCCTTCCACCGCATTTCGATGTGAACCTCTTTGGATCGATGCGGACGGTGCACCACTTCCACGACCTCATTATCCCGGCCAAGGGAACGATCGTCAACATTGGCTCCATTGGTGGCATGTTCCTCACTTGTATGGAGGCTAGGCGTTTTTTACAGCATCGGTGGCTTTTTGAGCACTACTCACCACACAGAAAGAGAGAGAAGCATCGCACAATGCCACCAAAGCTGGGCCTCACCACTGGTCCAATACACTCCGTGTCGAAGTGGCCCCCTTCGAGTAAGTCAGGCCCGCCCCCCCTTAGATTTCTCCTTTGGAACCACTCATTAACTGTGTTTTCGGCTCCAGCTTTCCAATCATACAGTATGTTTCTTCTCTCCGCCTCTTACTTTCTCAGTTGGTCAAATCCCACTAAGACATCTTGCATCGAGCCATACAGGTGATTTCCAGCGAGGTGTATACCAACATTCCGAAAAAATGACGCGCATTGACAACCCCCAGAAGGTATATTCCTCATCACATATCTTTTTCCATCTGCATATCAGAAGACGCCGGTGAGGCGGCCATGAGAAACACGTTATATGCATATGATCTAGTACAGTATGTTCTTGACTTGAACCCGCGTATGCCCATCACCGAGCGGATGGTCATGCAGGCTATCTCTCTTGAAAACAACAACAACCAGGTACTGAAGCTCTTATTACCCCTTGATCCGTTGGTACAGGTTACATTGCAACACGTTCAGACGACAATCGAACTCTTACCTGGACAACGCAGTGAGATTGTTGTAACCCTCCTAGAGCACGATACAAACCTAGCAGTGACAGCGGAGGTGCTGACCGCAGCACTCAGCATCTACGGTATGAACAAGAATGCATTGGAACTCCTGATGAGTCGAGCCCCTTTCGTTGAACTGACACTCAATCTTATGGCTACGACAAAGGCTGAAGATAGCGGAGTGATCCTCCGAACTGTGATCGCTTCCCACCCCCTCGAGAAAATTCACGGAGAATTTGGTCGGAGCTGCAACGGACAATAACGATCTCGGCACCCAGATCTTGCAAGAGCTGCTTCAACGAGCCCCAGTCACGATCTCCGTCCCCGAGCCAACAATATATCGTGCCTGTAGCGAAGACCCCGACTTACTAAGATTGATGCTGGACCGCTGGCCGGACTTTCCTCTCCCCAAGACCTGCCTCAAGAAAGCGGCGGGCAAGGCGGAGATACTCCGGGCGATTGTAGACGCCCGGCCGGCCCACAGGTTCGACGATGCCTTCGTACAGCTGGCATGCAAAGGGGAAGGTCGCCAAGCGGCCGCGGTGATGAAAATGCTTCTTACTCGCCAGCCCGACCTCGCTGTCACTGGAGAGATGATGACCGCAGCCTTGAAGAATCGGCATCACCCGCATGAACTCCTGGAGACACTCCCGTCCCACAATCCGACCTTGGAGGTCTCCCCTAAGCAGATTCTCCTCGCTGTCGACAACGGGCCCGAGGCGCTCATGGCTCTTTCCACCACGCGGCCGCATCTCCGCATTGCGTCCGGTGCCTTTATTGAATGCTGTATCGCACCCCGACGACGTCCTTGGTTCGTGGAGCTTGCCCTATCACGATACGAGTCAAGCACCCTGGGGAAGATCTCACATTTTCGGCGACCTCCAGATGTGTGCCAGCGGTGCTCACAAAACTGCCCAGCAACGAGTAGTTCTACAAGCAATGCAAACTATCTCTACAACAGCTATTGCACTTGTCGCGCGCCTTTCTAGCCACTGCCGCGCTGAGCCCTGATCTGATTGCCGCTTGTTGGGGCTTTGTTGGTAGTTTGGCAGAACGTCGGAGTACGGCATAAGATGTACCGTGCCTTGGGCTGTCATGGCTGCCCTCGATCAGCTCTGATTTGAACTTTCGAATCACTAGAACAATAGCGTGTATGCTCAATGAACATGATTGGGGAAACTAGAGAATCCTACCGTAGCGCATTTAGTTGCGTCCCAAATGGAAGAGCTTGCGATGTTCGATTCTGCCCGCATCAGAATAGAGACTAACTGCAACTGGTTAGTGCCTACGTCTCGGGAGCATGAGTAAGCGGATTTGAAACATATTTTCGGTTGTGGCGTTCAGGAAAATATGAATGGTCCGAACCAGACAGTTGCATTCGCGGCATAATTTGGCTCTACTAATTAAACATTCTCTGAGACTCCTCCGGTGTGCATAATTTTATCCTCCGGTGGTCGGGAGAATAAAGCCAAGTGCTTATGTTGAGAACGTTTGGGGTGGACGAGATGGGGCTAGACTGCATCTAGCAAGGCGTCTGCGCCGCCGGCGGCACTGGTTGAGTCCAGGGAGTGAGGTGCACACAACTTCGGTATAATGCGTATAAGCATGAATTCACCTCGCTTTGTGTCTCGGGTTTGTCGAGTCGTAGAATCAGAGGCCAGGATCTTCACAGTTGGCCCAACGGCCGGGTCTCTTCAGAACAAACTTCGAGTGACCAGAGTCGAGCAGCATGTTTACCATAATCTAAGTCAGCCTGCTCCACCCTCTGGTGGCTGCTCGCGATGAGAGGTCAATATGGCTGTCCCAAATAAACTTTTGCCTCAGTCGCATTCTCCACGATCCCCTGCTAAAGAATCAATCAGGGCTGCAACGGATCTACCGTTCGAGGTTGGCCTGTACGACTATCCCGCAGGCACGCGACCAAGAGACTGAGCCACTTGTGCTTGTGTTGTCCGACCGTCAGAAAGGCATAAACCGCTAATTACCGATCACAAGGCATAGTCAGCTTTGTCCATGGCCGTATTCGTATACGTTCACGTTCACAGTGGGTGGAGGGGCTGTGTCTGAGAGCAAAGCAGGCTTGGGTGGAACCTGGCGAGGCTGGGAGGGAGGAGTGGAACAGGGGTTCCGATGGATTTTAGGGATTTTAGTTGGATTAGTGTCTAATCATACCAAGTAAGGATTCCCACTTGGCAACTGCGCCGTCCGGAAGGCTAGTCCCAAGTAGTGCCAGACTCACTCGCCGCCTTCAAACTCCTGCGCCCTCTTGGTTCTTGAATCACTAATAGCAATCGGCCTCTCTGAGCCTCTGCTTTCTCTCGAGTTGCTGCTGACGACGACGACCACCACCTTGTCTTCCCTTACTCGACCCCACCCTCTCCCCCCTTATTCCTTTTTTCTTTCTCCTTCGATCTTTCATTCAAGTCTCCGCCTTCATTCTTCGTTTTCTTCGCGTGTTCTTCGTCATTCTGTGGAACTCGGCTTCGCTTCATGCTCCCGACGTCCCTGCGCCCGTGAACACCAAGCGCCCTGTACATACCGTTTCATCAACAACATCGTTGGTCGGCGTTGGCGGTTTGAGCCCTGCATCCGTTCATTCGATTTCTGTATATACTTCTCTTTCGTTTCGTTTTGATATACCAACGGAGACTAGCTGCGACAAGGGTCTTTCCTGCGAATAGGGGTAGACCACGCGACACGCACTTTTTTCGGGAGGAGACATTGCACAGGATCGACACAAACCGCATCTGAACGCCGATGCTAGGCGCTTGAGCCCGGAATTCAACAACGGTTCCCCTTCTTCGACTCATCTTTTGTACCACACACTCGCTGGGAGTCACGATGGCATCGAGCAACGAATCGACCTCGGTCGATCTGGGGAAGCCCCAGTTCGCTTCTCACTCATGGGTTGAGCCGATTGTAAGTGCTCCTTTGTTTACACTATCACTTGGAGCTATTGTACTAACTCTTGACTCAGATAGTCGTCAGTATCATGCTCAGCTCGCTATACTTCAACCGTCGCAGGGACTTCAGCATCTTCGGCAAGAACAACAATCGGGATCTAGGGTCGTCGCATCCGTTGTACATGAAAGATGAAGAGGCGAATGAGTCGATTGACAATTTATCGGAGGGGGACATCAATGGACAATTCCAGTCGGGCCCCGGAGTCGGCAACAACTATCCTCCCAAGCGTCGGAATTGCCTGTGGTTCACGGTCAAGACGCCCAACTCGTCTCGTTTTGCCCGTCACTTCCACAGCCGCATCCTGCAGAAGTTCCCTTTCCTGGTTGAGATGTTCTACTGGGTCATGAACTATCTCTTCTACTCCTGCACCAAGGCAGTGGCCCAGTCCCTGTCTCCCGCCGGTCGCGACGTCGTACAACTTGCCCAGGACCATGCCATCGGGGTGCTGAACCTGGAACACAACTCGTTCCTCAGCATCTTCTTCCCCATTGAGGAGGCAGACTTCCAGGCCTTCTTCATCAACGGCCATCCGAACTGGATGACTTTCTTCAACCGCATCTACTCCCTGGTCCACATTCCTGGAACGGTCGCGTAGGTCTTCCTGGTGATGATTCGGTGGAACATTTGAAGACTAATGTGCTTTTTAGTTACCTCTCGTGGTGGTACTATGCCGCCCCCGACTTCGAGCGCTACGCCATCGCGCGCCGCACGATGACCCTCGGAAATTTCATGGCCTTCATCATCTTCTGCTTCTGGCCCCTCATGCCGCCCCGCCTGCTGCCTGAATCCTTTGGGTTCCACGACACCGTCCGGCAAGAGCATGCGGAAAGTGTCTGGGTCGGCGGCAAGATGGTCAACCAGCTGGCGGCCATGCCCAGCCTGCACTTCACCTACGCCTTCTGCATCGGCAACACTTTCTTCTACCACTCCGGGGTCTTCCACCGCCTGTTCGGCAAGCGGTCGGCCCGCATCACCCTCCGGGATATCTTCCTCGTCATCCTGGGCGTCGTCTACCCCATGCTCGTGCTGTCGGTCATCGTCGCCACTGCCAACCACTACTGGCTCGACGCGGTGGTCGCCACCTTCTCGGTGGTCTTCTCGTTCTTCTGCAATCGCATCTGGATGATCCTCCTCCCGCTGGAGGACATGTTGCTGTGGGTGCTTCGGCTGGAGAAGCCGATTCCCACAACGGGCAGCCGACGCCGCGGCGGGCTGACCGATGATGAGAACGACCGTGACGGTATCGAGTACCGTCCTCTATGATATATACGACCGGCAGCCGGTCCGCCATATACGGCAATGAAACCGAGCAGTTTAAAATATATGCTCATTGACAATAGAATTTAATCGTTTCTGACATGTTTTAACTTGAGTGTTGGTGTTTGAGTAAGATCAAAAGTAGACCGTTACATGGTAAGATAGCCCCAAGATAAGTCCTGTTAGCATGACCATGGTCAAAGTCCACCCACAGGACACACATCCCCCTCCGGCCCCGAGCTCCACGCCCTCCGTATCTCCGATTATCCCGTAATCTCAGCAATCCGGCAGGGAATCGAATACACACGCAACCCAGCCAGAAGATTAAGCCAACCTCCCCTTACCCCGAATTAACCGAAAGCAACCAACTAATAGAGATATCCAACGCAAATTCATCTCCCTAGATAAGCCATGTGTTGGGGAATTCCAGCCCAATTCCCAATCATCAGCGTAAGATTGATTGGGGCGGTAATAGCAGCTATCAGTCAGCCCATCAGCCAGCCAGCCGCAGTACAGTACGGAGAGGACCGTCCTTAATCTCTACCCCTGTCCCACTAACCCGGTTCGCAGCTTACCTTAGGTACTGTACCTTATCTATTGGGGCCGCGGGGTGAAGAGACACATCCATCACAAGTGCAATCTCCCTGTCTGAATGGAGTTTCAAACCTACCACAGGAGATTAACTCAAGTCGTTAGAGTTTTTTTTCCTCTTCTTTGTTCGCTTTTAGTCGGGACTTTTGGGATGATGGCAGGGATGGGGATGATCCCAAGGGGGTTATGCTTTGATGTTTAATGAGGGATACGAGGTGTGTAAGATATGTGTCAATCACCGAGTCGGCGTAGACACATCGTTGCGGATCCTCTTCTACAATTCTCTACGATTTGCAGAGTAAAGTTTATGGAAAAGTGGGGTTGTCTTCAATCTGGTTTGTGTTCAATTTGGCCTGTCAAAGGTATCGAAAAATGGAGATCATGATCATCATCATACTCAAAAGCAGCGTGTCATGGCATGACGGTCCTAGCGCTGTGGGGGGATTTGCAAAGTGGTTGTTTCAAAAGAGAGAGATCGTTGGGTTAGCCAGCCCTAAGGGGGAAAGAAATGAAGTGATCCATGATCCATGAGCCGGAGTAGCGCGTTGGCTACACGGATGAAAAGAGGGTTTCAAGAAAGAAAGAAAGAAAATGTAAGAAGAATAAAGTGGAAGATGTACTGGTCCATGCCAGGTAAATCAAGATGGGAAAGGAAGTTGGTCACAATCTACGAGTAATAAGGAGAAGGGGTAGGAGTTGGGGTTGGGGTTGTGGCTGGGATTGAGGAAGGGATGACACTGCCAGTCACACTGGCAACGCCCACCCGGTTGGCACCCAGGGTGTTGGTGGGACAGGCGGTGCGCAGACCCTGCGACAGCGAGGCCAGGCCGACGGGGCCGAGCTTGTCGATAGTGGTCGGGGCGGGCACGGTGCCGACGTAGGCGTTGAAGTTGTACAGCCCACAAATGCAGGTGTCGACGATGTCCTTGAGGCTGGTGTCGCTCATGACATTCTGGCCGTTGCGCACCAGGGCGAACCGCTGCGGGCCGACGCCCATGGGTACGGTGAAGGCGCTGGCGCCGGCGGGGGCGCTGAAGCTGCGGCTGTTCTTGCCCGAGGCGACCTGCACCGTGGCAGGCGACTTGAGCAGCGCGACCACATACACCGCGTCCTCCATCGTCTCCCACCCATTCGGCCGCCCGCGGAAAAAGTTGCCGCTCGAGTTGTTCGGGCTGCCTTCCATGGTGGTGTCGGTGTTGTCGCAACTGACTCCCTTCGGGGTCGGGCGGTACCAATAGATCAGCTTCTCCTCGGTGATGTACGGATCCACCGTCTTAGCCCCGGCCTTATAGGCCGCAATGAAGGGCTTGGACATCTGCAGCCAGCCGTCGTGTGGCCTATCACGTTGAAAAACCGTTAGTGACCATCAAGGATCTGAAACACAGACAAAAATGAAGAATGTCAGAAACAAGGAGGGGGACAAAAAAAACTAGAAAAACTCACATGTCCATCACCCATTTAGAGGCACCATCATCCGTGTGGGGGGAGGACAAGGGGCCAATGTAATGCGATTCTCCATAGTCATTCCAGGTGATGATCTCGACAAATCGAGGGCCAAGACTCAGGATCTCCCGCCAGCGGTTGTACCAGAGCAGATCGCCGGGAAACACCCAATTTTTGCTGTAGGGCACCTCGCCGCCAAAGTGCGTGTAGAACCAACCAGATGCCGCTGCGATTAATTGAGTCAGTTTCTTTTTGAGTCATTCTTATTTCCTCTTTCTTCTTTTCAAGTGGATATGGATACGATAAGGCCAAACTTACGAGCGATATACCCCTTCCCTCCAAGCGCCTTGGTGTATGATTGGTCTCCCTCGGTGACCGAGACATTGCGGCCGGCGCTTGGGGCCTTGTTGTCGCCATTGTTGTCCCACGCCATCCAATTAAGCGCCCCATCGATCTTGCTGAAATCCCCCTGGCCCGGGTGGAAATTCGGCGCAAAGTACACATCCATCCCAGATGCCGCCTTCATCTGCTGAATGTCCAAGCCATCGCCCGCAAAAGAGGAGACAAATACTTTGCCGTCCACCTTCAACTGGGCCGGTCGGTTGCCGTACTGCGCAACTTTCTGCCCGACAGTCGTGGCCTGCCCGGTATTGTACCAGTTGAAGTCGAAGGAGATGAAGACTTTCATGTCATTGCGGGCGGCGGACTCGTATGCAAAGTTCAGCTGCGTGTCGGTGTAAGGGTCCACTCCGATGTTTAGCGCAAAGGCGTCAATCCCCAAAGCCTTTGCGCGTTTCATATCGTCGTCATAATCAGCAGCACTATTTCGATTGCTGGTGATGCCGATCTATTCCATTGGTCAGTCCTAAGATTCAGCTTTCCACGATCCCCTCGCAGAAGTGTTTCACCCACCATGAAATGACAGAAAACGAGTTTGTCATTCGCGGCGATAGTCGAGTTGGAATTGATGGGGGCACTGCTAGCCAGGGTAGCCAGCCCGGCAAGAGCATAGAATGGTAGCTTCCAGAGCTTCATCTTGTTGTAGATTGTTCAAGTAGGATTGGAGTGAAGGAATGTATAGAACCGAAAACAAAATCAAGGTACAGACACAGACTGTAGTAGTAGTGATGTAAAAAGGAATGTGGGCAGAGGATCAACCCCTTATACGGTCCAGAAAAGAAAGAATTGCAGAAGGAAGAAAAGAGAGTAGAGAAGAGAAGAATAGAGTGTGAGGTCAAGAAGCGAAGAACAAGAGAGCAGGCAGTATTTATTGAGGTTTGTCGCTAATCGCTAAGAAGCAGTGGCTGCATAGCCTGATTGAACCCTGAGTTTCAGGAACCGGCGGGTGGGAATCCTTCAAAGCACCCAACAAAGAATGCTCCAATCGTAAGACGGAATTCTCCTGTTCAATGTCAGACTTGAAGCTTTGATGATTTGCGCTTGTTCTAATCAACGAAACCGAGCTCCACCACGCTGATCTTATACTGTGAGCGGTGGTCATGGTCCGGCAAATAAAACCAAGGCCCCCCAGGAGATAGCATCATGGGGCCAAAAAAAGCTCTCCCAACGGCGTTGGTCCTGTGAGACAACGAGTAACAGAAGACACTGCACTGAATAGCATCGAGCAGTCCTTCTCATTTGCTCTTAGATGGTCGCGAATTGTCGCATTGGAAAGAGGATGGACCCTGGGACGGGGGACGAACCCTGATCGATTCCCAAAGGGTAATTCTAGGATTCGCGATGCTACAGAAGCACCGCAGTCAACCGTCTGTTACTGTCAGTGTGATCAAATGAGAGCATCTGATTTGAGTTTCAAAGCTCGTCCAGCATCGAGTGTTTACTAGACAGATCAAACGAACGGGAAAGAACAAGAGCCACCGATGAAGCCAAGCCTTCTCATCGACTTCCAAGACGGCTCAGAAGACAACGGTGAAGTGCTTTGCTTGCCCAGATGAGATAGCACAAAACTAGCGGTGATAAAACTTGAGCTTGTGCCACCCAGGATTAAAGGCGAGTTGGAGGGTCTGATTGGCGCTGACATTTTCCGACGTGATACAGACGGATGATCTTAATACTTCGAAACAAGCAACTGCGGGACGCCAGTCACTCCGTCCAACGCTTTCACAAAGCATGGGCGCGCGCGGGCGCTCTGGCGGGTGCTTTGTTCATATTCTGCGCGTTTTCAGCCCAATGCAACCCAGCGAGCACTGCATATATGCACGAAGAGTTGTGGGTTCTGATTGCTTTTTCTTGCATCCCCGGCATGACATATGCGAGAGCTGCGGGGTAACATGGCGGGCATATCAGCCACGCGATGCCATCACCAGACAATCGGAACATATGCAAATCCGTTTGCCACTGCCTTGGGCGGCTGTCGAAGCCGTGAGACTTGCTTGCGATGCTACCCGGTTGAGGCTTTTGTGGTGTATCTCAATGTCGACGGGCTGACCTGCAGGGGGAGGAGGTGGTGTTAGAAATGGGCTTACCCTAACCCCAACCCGCGAGGCGTGTGTGACAGGGCACCATGTGACTCTATAGTCATTTGCTTTAACTTAGATGACTGGATATGCTCTACAGTCTTTTCTTGAGCATCGAAGTGTCCCGCTGAACAGGAATCGGATATAACCCTCCGAGGTTTAACATCTTTCGCTTAGCAAGGACCGACAGACTTTAGGTCATTGAGGGTGCAACCTTAGCGACAACATTGGCACGAGAACCCAATTGTCTAAGCCATGTATGCGAGTTCGACTGGATATGAGGTAATGAATATGATGAAAAAGGATTTCTGCATACTTAGAATAAGGATATTTGCGAAAGAGTGCGTGTGTGAGTGTGATAGAATAGTTCAGTGTAGTATTGTAGATAGCCTGCCATCACTCATCACCAATTGCATCTCACAGCCATCAATTTTCTGCCAGTGTCCAGAACAGGGGGGTTTAAAGGAAAGGGCACGAAGAGAATCACAGAAAGAAAGCAAAAGTCATTTCCAGGGGCCCCTTCAATCGTAGATGAAACCACTTATGTTATATGTTTCAAAATTGACAACGACATTTAAGAAGAAACGCTCGAATACATAACAATGAGAAGTAAAGGGATGTCAAAGTGAGCACTCAAGGAGTATTATAATAGCATAATAGAATCTATCTTAGGGCACCACAAAGACAGACTGTTTAAAGGCCACAGCAATCAACAACAAACAGGCCATATACAAGAGGAGCAGGGGTGCAAACCAAGCAAACCAGACAAACGGCGCATAGGCCCGGAAGAAAGAAAGTCCAGCGCCCGCATTGTCTGAGGGGCGGGACGACAATTTCTCATTCTTGCGTTCACTTCATTCCGGACTCGAGAATACCCTCGGCGGTCCTTGATGTGCTTCCAAAGCCTCCAGAGTGCCCCGGTTTTGTCGCCTGTTGACCGTTTTCCTCCGCAAGAAAAGTCAGTGCTTTGCCTTGGTTTATGTGGTTATGTGGTTATGTGTTTTTGAGTCTAGAACACTCTCTTTCCCCCTTCCTTCCCTCCCACTCAGCTTCCTTGCCTGCCTAAGGCTCCTTCCGCCTGTCCCCCATCTATTGTTCCCCGCTTTCCTTCTCCACTATTCAGTTGTTCAAGATCAGATAAGGATCTACTATGTATAGGCACGCGACCTACCATCACCCTTTCTCTCTTCCTCTCAGTCTTCCCTTTTGACTTTTACCTCCCTACCATTCTACACCTTCATATCATTTGCGTCAACTGACCGTCAACTGACCATGTGCGAAACAGTACCCTGACCGGCTCGGTGCCCGTCCTAGGGCATCAACATGCCTGCTGTCCATGGCGACTTAATAGGCACGGTGATTCCCACCGATAAAGAGCTGCCGCCGGACATTGTTCCGCGCCAGGTAACGCTCAGGGACCGCGTCACGGTCGCGACGCTCGTGCCCTTCACGTCGGCTGCGATGGTGCCCCGGTCCCTGCTGGCGTACTTGTCCGAGCAATTAAACAAGGAGATCGAGGGTGGTGACACTTATGCCATGATCGACCCCATCCCTCTGGAACAGTTCGGATCGTATTGGTTCTCCAACTTCGGAGCTATTATGCTCCTGGGAGACATTAAGAGTGTGCAGGACGTCCAGACAATGGGCCGTCAGCGGGCCAATTGGGCCAAGATCTGCCTGGGTAGTTTCAACATCAGACCCAACTATCCGGGCCGTAGTAGTCATGTCTGCAACGGCATGTTTATTGTCACCGATGCGGCTCGCAACAAAGGTGTAGGTCGGCTGATGGGGGAAGGGTACCTCGAGTGGGCCCCTAAAATGGTCAGTATTTACAACACAGACCGGACTTCCAAAGCCAAATGGTCGGACGGTCACCCGAATCGGTTCCACAAAGTTTCCTTGCGCCACTCCCCTTGCCTGCCGAGGGGATGTGGGGGTGGGTGCGCGCTTGGCAGATACCTCATCCGTAGAAGTCTAACATTGAATAGGGATACACATATGCTGTTTTTAACCTGGTCTACGAAAGTAATGTGGCGTCCTGCCGCCTGTGGGACGCTCTGGGCTTCAAGCGTATCGGGAGGGTTCCCGGAGGCGGGCGGCTGATGTCCAACCCAGGCCAGTATGTCGATGCCATCATCTACGGACGCGATCTCGGTCCAGATGGAGAGGACTCGGCGACACAAGATCGGTTTGACAAGATCCGATATTATCTCAAGCATTCCAAATATCCCCGCGGGGCAGATCGAGCGGAAAAGAGTCGGCTGCGGAGCGCCGCCACCCACTACAAGCTGATCGGTGACACGGACGGGACTGGCGAGAAGTTGATGCTCAAAGACAAGGAGGTCGTGTCGGATCCGCAGCAGCAGTATGACATTGCCCGGGAGATGCACCTCCAGCAACATGCCGGCATCAACAAGACGACTGCCGCCATTGCGGTCAAGTATCACTGGGTTCGTATCAAGGAAACAGTCAGTCGAGTGATCCGCGATTGTCCACAGTGCAAAGAAACTCTCAAGCCAGCCGTCGTGAACGGTTTCATGAACGAAAGCTCGCCGGAAATGGACGACGAGATCGAGGACGAGGAGAACGAGGAGATGGATGATGGAATGCACGTCAATCCCACCATACCGACCAGCACTCTTATGGGGGCACATGCACTCATGGATCACACGGCCGACCTGGATGCACATTCGGCCCAAAACCCATTCGTAACCACCCATCCTGGCGTTGTGCCGGGGACGGTGGACTCGATCACCGACTATACGGGCATGCCTCTTGACCCACAAATCATCAACATCCACCAACAACTGCCCCGGTTTCACCCTCATGACCCCATTACCGACCCTTACACTCACAGTGCACATGCGTTACATGGTACGAGTTTTGAAGACGAAGTGCGACATCATACGACTCATGACTACCATATGATGGTCGATGACCCGACAGACCCCGATCCGTCTGCTGCACTCCATCAAAGCGCGCTGGGGCTGGTACCTTCAGCAGCGCATGATGTCCACCATGAACAAATTCTCGCGAAGTATGATTACGTTGGTCAACAGGACGACGAGCTGGACTTTGTATAGCATTGATGTAGTTGTTAATGCATCGCATGATTGATTGTTACTCAGCATTATATAGACAGGCTAATGATAGAGGATTTGAATTCAGCATCTTTCTTGATACTCCTGGGTGCCTAGTCTAAACCACCTTGTGTATGCCTGCCTATCTTGAACGATGGTGAACAACCGAGGCATGTAGAGTCTGATCAACAGACCTGACTCGATAGTAGTACATCACCAGACAGAAGAAGATGCTGATAGCTCTAATGTGATTCCCGCGCTGGCCATCTTCGTCAACCAACAATGTCCTGCTAGCAAGCTCTTTGGACTGCCTCGAGTGTATGCTAAAGTAACCTTAGATGCGGCTCGCCTCTGTGAGTCGCCTAATCCCCAATCCTCTCTTTCGTAGTGAATAAGCTGGTCTTTTGGGAATTGCTGCTTCAAGCACCTCATCTTGGTCCGGCAGAAGCCGTTTACCTTCACTGTTGTATGTGGTATT